GCCAACAATACCTGAAGAAGTTTCAAAATAGTATGGTGTTATCCCAACCCAGGAACATTTCTACTGACATCAGACAACAAGGTGACGTAAACTACCTCTGCAATTCCATTCATGTTGTAGTGACTTAAACCATCCTGGTTCACTAAAGAGTGTGAATGATCAGCTTCTGAGGGGCTACCAGGCATCACTCTACGTAAGCCGCCATTACTACTGTTTGGCCTACTGTATCTATTTGAGGGACTAAATGAAAGAGAAGGATTGGGATCGGATGGTGTAGCAGCAAAAGGTGTTTGTCGAGAAGTATCGGAGGAGGCAACAGCTCCAAGTCGCTCTGATCTCCTACCACTACTTGAAACAACACTGTTGTCCCTAATACTTGGTACAATTCGATTTCTTCTGCTATCAGAAACTGTGATGCCATTGCCATGAGAAGAATTTTGATACCTTGCCTTTGGCACCAACACATTAGTCTTATTGTCTTTGCTAGAGGAGCTGCTCTCTCCACCAGATTTTTTCTTTTTAGTCACACTGATTTTTCTTGCCGAGCTTGAGTTACTTGGAAGAACATCTGACAGAGAGTCGCAACTCAAAACGTTATCAGAAACTGTGATTCCATTGCCATGAGGAGAATTTTGATTCCTTGCCTTTGGCACCAACACGTTAGTCTTATCGTTTTTGCAAGAGGAGCTGCTCTCTCCACATTTTTTCTTTTTAGTCACACTGTTTTTTGTTGCCGACCTTGAGTTACTTGGAAGAACATCTGACACAGAGTTGCAACTCAAGTTCCTCAATCTATTCCTGCTCAGACTGCCTCTTACAGTATGCTCGCTGTTATTCGAAGATAAAGAAACAGAAATACCTGTCAGAGTATCTCTGGTGCCCAGTTCAGATTTTTGATGACTACTTCTACCTCTACTTAAGCTTCCTGCCTTTGTCATTACAACTTCTCCAGAGACAGCGCTTTGAGAATGAACATTGGTTGTGCATCTTTTAGTCTTTTGGCGTGGAAGGGTAGAATCTGCTGCAGCTGGATCATCATGAACAGTGCTCATCTCTGAAGATTCAGTGTCTAAATTAGATGACGGCTGTCTTTTGGCAGTAACCTTGGCTGGCTTCCTTAAGTATCCAAATCCAACCGGAGTTCGAGATGAACTCCCAATTTCCTTTCCATTTGAGGAAGACGGAACAGGAGGCTGGCCAACTTTTGTATTGCTGTCTGAAGAGCCAATCCGGGTTCTATAGGTAGATGTTACTTTTGCATTACAACCTATCCGGCCGCAGAAAGGAACAGCCTTACCATCTTTCTTTTCCATATTCTCACACAGAACAAGACCACTAGATTTCCGAGGCACAACCAACCGGTCAACCGATCGTTTACCCGCACATCCATCCATGAATCAAAGCAACACTTCCCCTGCAGATAAAATACACAAGAAATTAATCCAAATACCTGGTTAAAAAGTGAAGCTGGGATGAGCTAATATAAAAAAGTAAACCCACTAACACCAAACAAACAATCTATAAACAATAGCTTCAATAAAGTCATGAAAGCTTTAAGGATGGTCTTCCACCAAATCAAAAAGCAAGTCGTTGAAAGTTAAAAAAAGCATCACGGTGAGCAAAGAAAGAAAAAAAACAGACAACCACATATAAAAAAGCTTACGGTAAGAACATGAGAGTGGGGGTATAAACCATCCAGAGCAAAAAACACCTGGTGTTTATAACTTGATGGATCATAAACATCAAGCTACAAAGCTGTTAGATAGATAGATAGAAAGAGAGGGATGAACAAAAACAAAGCTAAAGAAAACCAAAAGAGAGAAAAAAAGGAGGTGACTTTAATGGTCCCAACCCAGGAGAAAAGAAAGGGTCTGCTTCGAATTACACGGACTTTCCATAAACAACAATGAACCTTTTCTCCGCGGTTCCAGCTTCACCATCAAAAACAAAAGCCTCAAAATCCACTTTTTTCTCGAAAATCTAAACAGAGAGGAGACAATTAAAGAAACTTTCCCCTTTCAAAAACTTCCGATCAGAAACTATACAAGTAAAAGACAGGAATCGAAACTTAACAGTGAAATTGAATCAAAACTTACAAAATTGAAAAATCCAATCCAGATACAGAACAACAATTGAGAATCTTCTGATACAAATACATAAGCTTTTTTTTTGGTTGAGATCATCTTAGAGAGACCTTTTCAGCTGGTGTGAGAGCCAGAGAGAGATACAAAAAAAAAAAAAAAAAAACTTTTCCGACGTTACCTTTATGCCTTTTCCGAGAGATTACTCTCCGCCGTCTGTGAATTAACAAAAAAAAACGTGGAGCGAAGTATGGAGAGAGAGGAGAAGAAGAAGATATATTTATATATATGAAAATAATAAATACTGTGGGGTTTATTAAAAGATTTTAATTAATTAAATAATCTAGGAGGAAGAAAAAGAAGTGTGGCGTAGCAAACGTGGAAAAAAGCGGTTAGATAAACCAGGGCCGTTTGATTTCGGGTTTGGTTCAGTGGAAGCTAAAGATGGACGGCTGAGATGTACACTGACGTCGGCCTCAGTGGATGGAAGAATTAAAACGACACCGTTGTCGTTAGCGCTGTTACGTATTGTAGACGGAATGATATAATTGTATCGGATTTTGTCTTTTTTTTTTTTGGAGTGAGATAATTGGAGTTTATATAATGGTATAGGATTAAACTTCGTGAATGAAAAGGATTTAGATTAATTAATTATTTAATTATTGATATTGATCATGTCGAGAAAGCTGTAATAACAAAACGTATCGTCCTTTTTGGCGTATAAATCAAGAGTCTCCCTACTTCTTTAGCAAATAAGGTGATCTTTTTAACTTAAAAACTAAACTTGTTTAGCATCAGAATTCAGAAAACTATATTTTGTTGATGAGAGAAGATTTTATGATTACACTTATAAACATAAAATTCTTGGCTATATATACTTTTCTTGACTGGCAATAGTTTTATAAAGCTATATATTTTAGTGTGATTTTTGATGAACTTTTTACAAATCCTTATAACTTATAAGGGCATTTCTTCCACCGGTCGAAACAATAAGTATTGTAATAAGCTTGCTTAGAGCAACATTATAGGTTGGTTTTTAATTTGGGTATGTTAGTATTAGTTTATTATTAAATATGAAAAAGTAGAGTTTAAGAGATTTGATTTTTTTTTTAGTTTTTGGATGTGTTTATTGGTAGGATCTTAAGTTAGATATCTTAGAATTTTTTTTTTTGTTTTTTTTTGTAATTTGTAATTTAAAAAATCTTATATTTATTGCAAATTTAGAATTTAGAATTTGAAAACATATATAAAAAAATACAATAAAAAAGTTCATCATCGATTTCGTCGTTATGTGGTTTAGAGAGAGAAAGAGAAGAAGAGAGAAAAAAAAAGAAATATCTGAGTAAAAAAAAAACTTATTATATATTTTTCACCTCACCCAATCCTCATCTGCCACGTGTCGTATCTTAACTCTTAACATAAATCCTTCTCCAACTTACGTATCTTAGTTATATTAATCAATTTTGATTTATTTTTTAACCTTAATACCCTAACATACTCTCTAAATCCCATTGTTAATGTTGGTCTTATACAAATTTGTATAGCCAGAAAGTTTAAAGTATTGTTAACTGTTCAGATCAATGTAAATATATAGACACATTTGGCACATGCATGCTATGAACAAAGTCGTAATCCTAAGAACTCGTGTTATGCTTACCTTGATAGCTACATGTTATGATGTTAAACAAACCGGTCACTAGCTGCAAGAGGCAAACAGTCCAAAAAATGATACTTAGCATTTTCTGTAGTTTTGTTTTAGAGTTGCTACTTATTCACCCAATTTGAAAATGATAAAACACGATAGATAGATTTCGCAATATATATCGAACGTGCATCCTTGGGTAGGGAATTCCCAAAGAGGCAAAGACTTAGAACTACACGTTTGTAAACTCTTCTTTTTTTTTGGTCTTAACACGTTTGTAAACTCTCATGCGATTTTTATTTACAAAAAAGAGAACTATTATGACTTGTGAGGGACATATATATATTTGAAGCTTGCACTATAAAGGTTTATTTATGTCTTTAAAAGCGTGGATACATCGACCACCATTTCTCCACTTTAGCATGCATTTCTTTTCTTTTCTTTAATTATTTTTTTGGGAGCATTTTTCATTTTTCATGTCATTTTATTTCGTGAACCTTTAATCGATGTATATATGATGACTTGAGAGTCTCTCATTGAGAGATGACGATTAGTTCATCAAAGTATTGTTCATGTTTCGAATTCTCAACCCAAGACTTGTTGTAAGAGCCATCAGTACTACAAATGGTATGAAACTTTGGGGTAGAACCCTATACTGTATTTGGGTTAAGACTTAAGACACATGTACAACAGTGTGGCTATGTATGCATCTCTCAATTTGGATTTCCCATCTTTGACTTCTTTTGTGTTTTAAATTCTAAGAGATAAATTGTTGTTATTTACATACTTTATATGACCTTTTCATTTGATGTATACTTTATATTACATTAAAGAAAAATGATAAAGTACCTAATATATCATTTTATTATTAATAATTAACAAACAAACAGATAAATAAAAATTTTAGTTCTGTTTTTTGGCAACAAATCACAGAGTAATTTTTTTTAATTAATGTGTTGGTTGTTTAAAAGGACTGTTATCTATTTTTTCAACTAAATTAGGAACAATATATTTTTACATTGAATATGTAAAGCATTATATAGAATAAAAATATAATATTAGCTATTATTTTTATATGAAAAGATTAAAGTAAAAGAAGATAATTAATATAAGAAAATTATGGGAAAACATATGTACTTTAAGAAAAAAATAGACTAGCTCAAAAAAAAAAAAAGTCTACGGTTTTCCAAAACGGTCGAAATCGTTATAACTTATATAAATTTGGGTATTATTTTGTTGTTTAAGAACAAATAAACAAATGGAGGATTCATGGTCTCCACCACCACCACCACCTAAGAACTGCGAGATTTAAGCTCCGTTTACAAAAACTGAGTTCCAAAAATAAGTTTGTAAACCCTAATTTTCAACCACAAATCTTTGGAGATTACGTTCCTTGATATACACGCCTCTTCTCCTTGCGTTCAAAAACCAAACTTATTTCATCTCCTTTGATCTCAAGGTAATTCTTTCATATTTTCTTCTCCTAGTTATTCATGTTTTGAATTGATTGTTATTATTAACTGTTTTAAAGGCTGGCTACTTATTTGATAGTCTTCTGAAATATTGTTCTAAATTGTTCGTTTGCTCGGTAGCGTCTCAGGTCGTTTATTTGATTTCTTAATAATGGCGACGACGTCTAGTACAACGAAAACGAAACCAGACAACCTCACCAGATCAAAATCACTCGGCAGAAAGCCAAAGCCCGTCTCATCTGAAGCGAACGCAGATGGATCTGACCGGAAAACAATCGAGAAGCCTTTGCCCAATTACCTGAAACCAACAATCAGCTCGAGACCTGACCCGGTCAAGTTCTTGAGGAAGAACAACGCTGTCGAAGACAATCAGAAGATTCTTCGTAGACGATCCTTTGATCGTCCTCCTTCGTCTTTGACTTCTCCCTCAACTTCATCATCCCATAAACCTCTCAATACCTCTTCCGCACACCCACACCCACACCCACGGGACAGACCCGCGGTTCCAAGAGAAAAGCCTGTCACTGGTCTGCGTTCTACATCTTTCCATGGAAGCAGCAGAGGCGGTCTCAGAGGAAGCAATACGGTGAAATCGCCTCCTGTCGCTTCAAGAGGTTCTCATGGGGTAAAGAAGAGCGGTCTAAGCGGTAGCGGTTCTTCCAAGAGCAAAAAGGAAGTTTCTGAGAATATTCCAAGGAATCCTTCGAGTAAAGAGACTACCCCAGAAACGTCGCCTCTTGCGCCTGCTCACGAGGACGAAGAGGAGATTGTCAAGGTTGAGACCAATGTAGACATTTCTGACCACAGAGAGGAAACGAAAGAGGAAGAAAAAGATCAATCCGGTGAATCCAGTGAAGAGAAGGAGACCAAACCAGTGGCTGCCTCCACAGAAGAAGAAAAAGGAGAACTGATCAACGAGGATAAACCCGAAGAACAAATAGAGGAGCTGAAAGAACCAGAGAGCACCCAAGAAGAAGACGAAGATGAAATGAAAAAGAAAGTTGATGATAAGGAGAACATCGAGACAGTTGCTACTACAGATGTGAAAGAAGCTGTGAACATGGAAGAAAGTAAGGAAGTGGAACTGGAAGAAGCAGAGGAGAGCGAAAGTAGCAAAACGAAAGAAGAAACAACAGAAACAAAGGCTCAAGTAGAAGATTTACCAGAGGAAGGAACAAAGAAAGAAGTAGTGCAAGGGAAGAAGGAATCTCCAACTGCCTACAACGATGTAATAGCAAGTAAGATGCAGGAGAACTCGAAGAAGAACAAGGTCCTGGCTCTCGCTGGAGCCTTTCAAACGGTTATTGACTATGAAACTGCTGCATCTAAGTGATATACATCTGCATTATATCACATGCAGACATAGCAACTGCGTCTTATTAGCTTTCCTATGTCAGTGTTTTTATCGTGTCTTGTTAATTTTCTTTCTTGCTTTTGCCTAGTATTGATGTTGGACAATGAATTATATGGTTTCGCCTATGAACATGAACTAGTCATCTGCGTTTTTTTCTTTAACCAAAGAGACTTCTAGATGCAAATTCGTGACAATTTTAAAGAACTAACCCTTGTAAGAAGCAATATTATATTACTTACATCCACTAAAGCAGATTTTGTTCTGGTTCAAATAGCCGATACAATTGTGCTCTTGTAAAAGCTCCTACTGTCTTTGAGCTATAACCGCTCCCACTAAGATTTCCGCATTGAACAACTATTACCATCTTAAGTTTCTTTTCCAAAACCAGATCTACCACACGACCAATTGATGTTGTTGTACTCACACATGTGGGCGGACTTCTCATCAGGGAGGCCAATGTCGCATCAAGCTACGAGAAAATAATTCAGTGCACAAAATCTATCAATTTATCTTTCTCTTTTGTCATGTCAACAGGTTCTGAAGCGGAGCAAGATTTAGTTTAACTCACATTGTTGCAATCCTCCCGATGCAAAAGGCCTATGCAGCTCCCCCAGTCATCTATAATAGGTACGACTTCCTCCTTGAAAAACCGCATGACAACATTCTTTAGTTGTAGAGTGCCTAACAGAGGCCCAGCTGCTTCAAATTGAATCATAATGCTTTCTATTGGTTCACTTGGTATCACCTGAGTGAATATATTGTTAATTACCAAGATCATATATCAGTTTTAGATTTAAAAGAGGAAAGCACACTAAACCCCCATTTTTAAGAAGAGAGAGTGTAGGAAATGGTTAATCTATACCTTACTAGATAGATAATTTGTAAGAATTGAGAATGTGGGAAATGATTTATCTATACCTTTCTAAGTAGATGTGGGCGCAATATAGACTTGGAAAACCCAAACAATATTTCTAGGCGGACAGCAGCCTGCAGTTGAACAAAAACCACCTAACTAAGGTATCCATCGGAAATAACCGCTTAGTAATACATGTCTACCAAAAAGAATATTTAATGTCTGCAAATAACTTTTCACATCATACCATGCCTCCACTAGTCGTCCAAGGTATTGCCTTCCACCTTCTAATGATACTTAAGAGAATCCCTAGGGCCTCCTCGAGCTGATAAATAATCCAGACAACTAGTTAGAGGACCATCAGAGAGAGATAGACACCAAATAAAGGACAAAACAAAGCCTTTCCATTCACTAGAAAGCCGAAACCCAGAGAGCTTATCTAATTCTTGAATACCTGGCCAGCATTGAGGGCAGCTTCCATCAGGAGATTATCAGCTTCTTGTTGAACCGCCTTGGAGATTGTTCCTGAGGAATCAGGCCATAAGCGAAGATACAGATTTCTCACCATTCCATAATCCCCTTGGACAGCAAATGCTCGCATCATAGACAGGTACAAGTGAGGCTTTGGCCGCAAGACTTCATTAGCTCCACTTCTCTTCAATATCTCACCAAATACACAAAGGGCCCCTGCGAACAAATTCAGTAAAGACCCTAAGGATATACTCTAAAGATGCTGAAAGCAGCAACAATGTCACAGCAATTCATTGTAACATACCACTTGATGAACCACACTTTAGCATAGCATCAACTACTGCTGTAAAAGCAGTTCGGTCAATGAACACGTTATCACACAATTTCATTTCCAAATATATTTCCTGCAGTGATAACAGATCTTTCGCATCCCCAAATCCCTAACATGTAGAAAATCATCATATGAAACAGAAATTGGTAAAGCATAGAGAAGAGAAAGAGTACTGAGCCATCTTCCCGCATAAAGATTAGTTATGTAAAGATACACAGATTGCTGGCTCACCTTCACCAAAGTGGTGTATGTTACAACATCTGGCTGAAGAAAATCGTCATAATATTCCTCTGCTTTCTCCTGAATTGTATTCAAAACCAAGACATCACAATTAATATGAGCCACACTCTACCCCAGTACTACTCTGAGTAACACTTGGGAGTATAAAACTGGCCTTTTAAATACACATGTGTGACCTTCATATCCTTGAAAAACTTCATAGCCACATCCAAATCGCCACACTTGATGCAGGCATGGATTAAAGTATTGTAGGTCAACCTATCAGGCTCCAATCTAAGGCGTAACATTTCATCCAGCAAACTAATTGCAGCTTGTGGAGATTCTGAGTTGACATAGCCCTGAAATATATAACAAGGAAATCCTATAGCGATACATACACCAGTGATGATGCTTTTCTGAGCCTAAATGCAACTATGCCTAAAGAATTACCTTCATCAACAAGTTATAGATGAGAACTGACGGGGTTCCATGCTCTAGAAGCAAAATATCATATCGTGCAAGCAGACCATTAGCACGACGTAAATCTCCTGCACTAGAGCAATATCAAGTGTTTTTGCATCAGCTTCGGGCAATGATATTTCCAATTCACTAGCACTAAGATTACATGATCAAGGTTCTCTGCAGCCTATTGAGAACGAGATATTTTTTTACAGCATAAAAATCATACCAGCATTGATCAGAGCGTTAAGCAGACCATAGATAAGAGATGATGACAACTTGGGATTCCCAGAAGCAGTTCCTAGCTCTATAGACTCCAGAATTTGGAACGCTTCGTCAATCCTCCGAGCCTTCCCCAATCCCTTAACCAAAACAAACGATTCGAAAATCAAATTCAGGTGTTTTCTTGTTCTTCTCACACGATGACACGAAATCAAAATTCAAAATTAGATGAAAGAGGAAAGAACCAAAAATCACCTTCAAGATAGTGGCGTAACTAATAGAATCGACTCCAATTCCACCAGGTTCGGCCATCTCATGAAACATCCGGAGAGCTATATCGATATTTCCACAGTGAACGCAAGCTTCCAGAACTGAGTTCATAACGATTGTGTTAAGCCTCCCATACCGTTTCTTAGCTGCTTCCACCTCCTCCACGATCTGACCAAGCTGACGACGGCGCGTGAGGAGCACAATGCGAGAGGTGAGAGGCTTGAGATTGATACGCCTGGAGTAAGGAGTAGCTCTGCGTGGATAACACCGTCGCGTCGGAACAAAAGAGGAAGACGGAAGGAAAGGGAGAGGAGTGACAAGATTAGAAACAGCTAAAATCCGATACATCTTCAAAGAGACGGTAAGCTACCCATCCGCCATTGATGGATAACGTCAGAGAATCTGAATCGTAACACTACAATCAGTCAAGTTATTCATTCATCTTGGCGGGTCGAACAAATATTACAATGGATGTAACAAATGTGGGCCTTAGGTAAAGCCCAATAAACTTATATTCAACGTTGACGTGAGTTTTTAACTTTTGACTTTTCGATCCCCTAATCCAAAATTGCTTCTAGATTACGCTATATTTCTCCGGAACTCCTAAACTTCGAAACGGCAACTTTTAAAACGCGGAAACAAATATCCTAAATTCCATGGAGCCTTGTGCTTATAAATATCATTCAAACTGAAACCTTTTATTCACGCGGAAACAAAGAAAACTGAAAACGATTCTATAATTTGACCTTGTCTAGAAGAGAAGAAAGAACAAAAAAAAAAGGATGTGTTTGGTGTTCGTGTGCGATCAAGACGAGCAGGTGATCGGAAGGTACGCAGCTCCTGGAGCGTGTCCGTACTGCGGCGGAGCGGTTCAGGTGGTTGACGTTAATAGCCGGTGGAATTTCTGCTTCGTTCCTATCTCTAATAAAAACAAACGTCGCCATCTCTGTTCCACTTGCGGTAAACGCCTCATCGTCCGTGGCTGAAACCAAAAAACAAACTCCCACCTCCTCCGACTCCGAGAGATCATTTCTATCATGTAAATATTCCAAGCTTCTGACTTGTTTTGTGTATCGTGTTCGTAAACGTTTGTAAGAAAAGAACATATCTTCTCTATTATGATTGCTCAGTATATGTATGAACCATGATCATATAAAATTTCAGCTTACAGATTTTTTTTTGAAATGAGATTTATATGAAATTGGGATTTTTGGAGAAGAAGAATGATTCACTTGCAAAGCTTGAGCTTCTTGAAGAAAGAAGAGACTTGAGATTTGGAGTAAGGCTTTGTGGCGATACAAGTTGGAATATTCTCCGGCTGCTCCATCCATAGCTTATGAGAGATTCCTCCTAATTTCAACTTCTCTGACAAATTCATCATCTGCGTTTCACCTTTAACCTCCAAAGTCACCTAATCACCAAATTTAATTAACGCGTTTAGTTAACCCACCATTGATTCCGTCCCAGAATTATAAAACTAAGGTTTCGCGGAGTAACCAACCTTGTGCATAGAATCAATGTGCTGCGGATCGCAATACTGAAGAGTAACTGGATCGTCTTTGAACGACCAGATCGCCGCCACTGACGCGTGGCATCCCTGTGTTACCACACTCCCGAGTGGCCACGAATCGATCAGATCTCTCCGGAGTACCACGTATTGCACCACGACGTCGTCGGGATTCTTCGCAGAGTTCTCCTCCTTGCTGGATGCATCGACGACGGCATCCATATTTCCAGTCTGTTGGCTCATAGAAGAAGAAGTCGTTGTGAGTCTGCGGAGATGAGCCAACCGGATTGTGGAGTGACAAAACCTAATTCGCGGCGCCGGAACAGAGAGTCGACGGGTAACGAACGGGAGTCGAAACGCAGCGGAGATGACGGCGCTCGCCATATGAAAGGAAGTTTCGGACATGGACTTGGCTATTGGATAAGATTTGTTCATTCTTAATGGGCTTTTAGAAGACCCAATTAGTTTTTGATGTCGTTTGATTATTATTTTGGATATCTCTGATAAGAGAGAATCTCAAATTTTTTATAAGTTTTTGATGTCGTTTGATTATTATTTTGGATATCTCTGATAAGAGAGAATCTCAAATTTTTTATATAGACCAAACCAAACCCAGGAGTAAACCGGTTATTTAGTTCGCTAGAAATCCAAACCAGAGAAATTGCTGATTTCTTCTTTTCTTTTTCTTTTCGCGGTTGGGATTTTATGATCTCTCCGAGCGAAATCAAACATTCCGACGTCCGTAACAGTATCCACCGCTGCCTAAACCGTCTCTCCCCGCCAATCTGACCTGATACCTTTTTCTACTCGCTGGCATCGTTGAGTATTTATTCTCTTATTTCCTTTTTTTTTCGTCAATTTCCTTTTTTTTTTTTTTTTGGGAGTTATTGTTCTTCGTTTTATGTTTGGGGCTGCTGTGCCAAATTAGCTGTAAGTTCCTGAAACAAGCCCTTCTGTAAAGTAGGATAGAGATTCTAATTCAGCCTCGTTTCTGTTTAGTTTCGTTTCCGAGTGTTACATATCTGAGCTGAAATCGTGATTTCGCTGCCGGTTCGATTTCTTGAGAGTATAACTCTTGTTGATTTAGGTCGCTTTAGGGTTTGCTTCTCACTCGATTTTTGTGCTGTTGCGTTTTGTTTTAATCATAGAGCTTGACAATTCTTTCAGATTTGGGGACTCTTCTCACCTTCGTTTTTGACTTTCATTTGGTTTTTATTAGAGCTTTGATGAGCTACTCTTTCTAAGTTACTCTGGTGGGGGAGTTTTTGGAATATGTTAACTTTCGTTGAAGAAATAATACTAACTGTTATAGATGTAATGTATGAGAATCGCAAATTTGGTGTGCATATTGATAATCAAGTTCTCTGCTTTTTGGCAGGAGATTGGTCAACTAGTAACTCTCTAAAAGCAAAGATGGGAGAAATGGTAAATAACAAATCCTTCCACTTCCTTCTCCCTTTTTCCAATTGTTAACTTTAAGAGGTAGACTCTGCAACATTTGATTTTGTTGCATATAGATTGTTTCGCTGGACCAAGATATCCGACTGGATACAACACGAGCAAGATGTGAGTAACAGCTTTTCTTGTGGTTCAGATCCTTTTGTTTTTTTTTTTGGTTTAAAACTGTGGGTTATAATTTCATTAATTTCTATGCTCTTTCCCTAGTCTCGAATCTTCTCAAGAGGCACCGAGAATTGACAAACCGTCTTACTAGGTAGGAAATATGCTTCTGAACTGTATTGTTCACTTCTCACATCTTTTTATTTATTAACTTTGTATTTTGTAATAATTAATTCTAGGGATTCTGATAAGACAATATTTGATCGCTTAAACAAAGAATTTGAAGCTGCACGGGCATCCCAAAGCCAGGGTGGGTATGGATAACTAAATTGCAGAATTGGATTCTGTGTGCCATAAGTATGTTCTCATCCGTGTATCTATTTTGATCATAAGTATATCCTCTCCTCTGCAGAAGTCTGCTTATATGGGGAAGAGTGGAATGATGGTTTGTTGGCCACATTAAGGGAACGGGTATGGCATCCATCATTGTGTACTCTAAAAATAGGTGTTCCAGGCCTTAGTATCTGGTTGAGGGCTTAGTAGACACTTTAATCAGGGCAGATCTAGATTAATTATTCGCTCTGATAAAGAAAGTCTTGTATTTTCTTTCTGCTATTAAATCTATTATGCCATCCTTTTTCTTTTCATCTGTTGATTTATTGACTCTTTCCTGAAATTGACCATAAATTGTGTAGGTGCATATGGAGGCTGATAGAAAGGCAGATAACGGTAATGCAGGTTTTGCAGTAGCATGTCATCCTGAAGAAAGAGTTACTTACAGAGTGGGAAATAAGGTACGTCCTTAGGTCTTACATTCTTACAAATTTCTTCTGTAGAGATTTGAATTCGTTTGTACCCAAGGTCTGTTGGCATAAGCCTTACCCATGTCTAGATAGCACAAATTTAACCATGACTCTTTCAGAATACACACAAAGAAGACTACTTCTGTCACTATAGATATACTAGAAACACATCATGAAACCATATGACAGTAGCTCTGGATAGTCCAAAGGAAACCTATAGATTTGCTCATTTATCTTGGCCTGATTTAATGCTTGCCTAAATGATAGATCCAATCAGACCAATCTTGGTTGTATACTTGTATATCTTTGTTGAAGAATGTCAATTAATATGTCTTTCCCGAATTTTGGTGGTTCCTATAATCTTTCCTCTTTTGAAGTTTTGGCTGACACCAGGCTAATCTTAAGTTTGGAGTGACATCTCACTTTGAGTTGATACCAAATCGTGTATTGCTTATATATTTGATGTTTTTATCAAACAGATGATATGTTGCCTAGAGGGAGCGAGAATTGGAATACAGTATGAAACATCGACTGCAGGTAATTTGGACTATAATTGGCATTTTTCATTAGTTCCAAGTGTTTTTGGTTTACAAACAAGTATTGGCAGTCATCGTAACGTGTTTGTCCACAAAGTTTTCTTACCTTCTGAGGTGTCACTGAAAGGGACTTAGCTGTTTTGTCTCCATATTTCATGTAAATGAAGACACTGGGACTTTTCCTAACCTTTCCCCTTCCTGTATGTGATAATTTGATCCTTTTTTATATAGGAGAAGTTTATGAGGTTTACCACTGTGTGCTTGAGAGCAAGTCGTTTTTGGAGAAGATGACTGTACTTGAGCACACAATTCCTTTCTTTTTGCCAATACGTGACTTGGAAAATGATCTTTGTTCGAATGCTAAGGTAGGCATGGTTACTGGATCCATTATCGATATTCAACTTGCTTTGACGTTGTTGCACCTGATCTTTAGTTTATCCTCTTACTTCTTTGTTTCTTATATTTTTTCCGTTTAAAATTTGTTAACACCAGAAATTCATCGATAATGTTGGGGAACTCCTGCAAGCATATGTGGAAAGGAAGGAACAGGTTTGTCAACATTTTTGATCATGAGTAGATGATCAAACTTATAGATTGTGCCTTTTAAATTGGCTATTTGGGTCATGGCCACTAAATTTTTTAACCTACTGGCTTCTTGTTTGATTTTTTTTTTCTCATTCAGAATGCGTCAATATAATCTCTAGATAGAAATGAAAATGGTAGTGAAATCATGTGACCTGTTAACATGAAGTAAGAGAATTTCAGCATTAACCAGGATGCTTCTCCTTATTTTATTGTAGGTTAGGCTTATGAACGAGCTCTATGGGAACCAGATCAATGAGCTTTATAACAGTCTTCCTTACCACATGGTTGAATTTGCCGTAGATGATTGTGAATGGTTAGCAATCTGTTAGCAATCTCATGGATCTATATGATTCTGTTGTTATAGCTTTTTAAATCTTAAAAAAAATGTTTGGCATTGAAGCAAGGTGATGGTAAGCCTGAGATATGGAGATCTTATGAGTGAACTGCCGACAAAAGTGAGGGTTCTAGTTTGGCCAATGCATCATCAGTCGAAGAAACATTGTACAAGCCCTGGGAGTCAGACAATTCCTGTGCGTTTATCTTTTGCCGAGGATGCTTTGCGGATCCAATCACTACCTGAAGGTACTTCTAGTTTACACCGATATGTTGTGAGTGATGTTTTTGTTTTTGAAAGGTTGGTCTTATCTTTTTGATCATTGCAGCATACGCAGAGATTATGGTAAACCTGCCACAAGAAATTGAGCAAATATTTCAGTAGAGGAGTCCGTGGAAAAAGCTGGAGCTGTGTCTAATAAACTTTCTATTTCTGTTGCTGCTTCCTTGTCTGATGTTGTGATTCTTCATTCAAAATGTTAAAATAGTGATATGAAGAAGAGTTCTTACAGAATGGATTTTGTAATTGGATTAGACTATTAGTAATTGGAAATGTTGATGCTCGAAACAGAAACAGATAAATGAAGTTTTGGTTTGTCTATGGCGTGTAGTAACATGGTCCAATCATATTCTTCATGAAATTACGCAAATGAAAGTCAAAAGTGGCAGTCAATAAACTTATAAACTTAATCCAGAATAGGTTCAATTCAATGTGAGGGAGATAAGGTCATCACTAACCTAGTTGTAGATAGATATACATTTCTTTTGATGGTCGGTCCACCATTAGCTCAGCTAGTTGAAGTAATTGTAAATAATAAAAACGAAAAGTATTGTGTTACAGGATATGAAATTACGGTGATAGTAAGGAATCCCGGAGTTGTGTTACCCACTTTGACTTAATCTTTTCACGAAAACTATCACAATTTAAGAGATTATGTTCCTAGAACAACGGGGATATAATATTTGGCTGAAATATCGGATTTGAGGATCATCTGTCGTTGCAGATGTACTGAATAAGAAGAAGAGTGTACACTTTTGTTATAACAGCCCAAAAAAAAAAAAAAAAAAACGAGTACAAATGGAGATTTACTTTAGATCTATCTTCCTTGGTGATTGATTTATTATTGGAACATATGATTAAGACACTGAAAAGTTCGTTGTCAGAAATATATTAAAATAAATAAATGTAAAGAACTCTGACATGGGGCCCCTCCTACACAAAACATTAGATTATCGAATTTATTTTTTAGTTAACCCCTTTTTTTAATAATGGAACCAACAAAAAGAAAAGTATCAAATAATAGCTAATGATGGACTTAAAAGGGTTAATACTAATAGTAATCCAACAAGTGTGTTAATATTAATACTAATCCAAGCAAGTGCTAATATGAAAGTATTGACATACCCGAAAATTATGGTCTAGCCACTACTAATAAAACATGTCATCTTTTTATAATATCTCCAATTCGTAATAATATAAATGAGGGATATTAAAACATAGTTTTGTATGCTACTCCGATAGATTCATGGATGACATTTATAATTTAAAATATAACTATTATATGGAACCGAGTAAGTCGTTGATAATACTATGTCAAGAACCCAGCTTTACACACACATTTTTATATAATGTATATATATATATATTACTATATATTAAAAAATAAAATAGGAAGAAGAAAGATGAAAAGAATGGTCCTGCTTTAATCGAGATTAGTAGTAGATTAATAAATAAATAAACAAACAAATCCGGTATTTAAGGATTGGTGTCTACATCCAATTAATATCTCCACATTCTCGTCTTCTCGTCCAGAAAATAAAAACTCGTAAGAAATAAAAAAATAAAATAACACATCCCATTCGCTTCACCTAGGCATGTCAATTAGGGCTAAAGCCCGCGGGCTAGTTTGGCCCGGCCCTGAAAAACATCGGAATCGGGATTAAATATATATGTCCAGAAGAACCGAGCCTTTTGGGCTAAGCCCATTCGGGATAAAGGGTTTTTTGGGCTTAGCCCGGTCGGGCTCGGGCCGGCCCGAAAAGCCCTTATACAAATATATTTTGAATTTTTTGAATATTTTAGTTTGATTAAAAGATTTGATTAATGTTATAATTTTCATATTTACTTACTAGTCTTACTTATTACTTTTAAAATCTTTATACAAAGCTAAAACAAAATATATATAAGTATCATGATTTTGAAATCATCAAAATATCTATTAAATTTTGACTCTATGTATTTTAGTTCCATGTTTTATTGGGTTAAAGTGTAAATAATTTATTTGGCTTTTATTTTTTTCTCTTAAATTAAGTTAGTTTTATTGAATATTGATAAGTTATTTAAAATTTGATGCATTATTTTTATAGTAGACCTTTAAATATAGTTTTAAAGAACTGAACTTAGAAATTGATTTTTTTATCGTTAAATAAAGCCAAAAAAAGCCCGAAAAGTCCTGTAGCCCTGTTAGGGCCGGGCCGGGCTTTAAAATATAAGCTCGGAAACTTTTCGGACCGGGCCGGACCGGGCTCACATATATGATGGTTTTACGGGTTTCGGGCGGGGCCGGGCCGGGCTAGCCCGATTGACATGCCTAGCTTCACCACACCACCGTCCAATGTATGTATATTGTATAGTATTTTTATTTTTGTTTGCTTTGGCGGGAGAGCAAACAAAAACAGAAGAAACATGTTTGAAAATGGTAAGAACACGTGTTGGTCAACGGTACTTACACGTGACATATAAGAATGACGTGGCACATGTGGCTCGCACATGTTACCATATACATAGCAACTACGGGACGGGACAAAAAAGGCCTCCGAGCGCCGTTTCAGATCGGTTCGGGACTAATATTACTAATCAGCATCGAAATGGCTTAGCTGTTTTTCTTAGTTTTCTTTTCTATAATAAAGACGCTTTTGTTTGTTGTCTAATTATTTTTGATTGTACTAGTTGCTACTTTTTTTATATTTAAGTTTATTTATTATAGAAATGGGGAGATTGGTTTCGACAACTAATTTTGTGCCAATACAGTTGTTTGTCCGCTCCATTGAATTGTGAGAGCGGAGGATTGGTGTCTCTTATATTTTTTTATTCTTCTTCTTTATAAATACTATTTGTTTTCCTTTTGTTCTGTGGGTGTGTGTGAGCAAGTTTCAAATAATTGATCAATACATAGTTTTCCAACTGAAAAACTGAACCGTAGAATATAGTTTAAGATTTAGGTTGATTACTTACTCTTAGTATAAGAAGAAGAAGTATTAATACATTTTTTTTTTTTTGTGGTACGTACATGTGCTTTTGAGTTTTGGTATTCATGAGAAACATGAATGTCCCAACCCAATTTCGAATATTTGTGTACTTTCATCTACTTTGCTTTGACATTCTATATTGACAAAAACCACATGCTTATACTCTTTTTTTTTTTTTTTATAAACAAAAAATTTCTGGAAAGAGTAGTAAAGGCAAACAAATAAAAGAAATACAATCATTCATTCGTTTACTTATTGACAACTAGTAGTAATAATAATTTTGTTCGTTATTTCATTAATTTGATCATCTAATTACTTATCTAAATATTAAACTTTTAATTCTTGAGGTACACGGAATTGCTCTGTTTTGAAACTAACTAAACTCGGTTTATCAAAGACTATATGTCAAATTTTACTACTGATTAAAGTTAGCAAATCATGGATTAATAATGGTTGAGAGCAATTAAAATCCAATATAATCTAAGATGGGGTTTTAGCTATTAATTAATTGACGGCCATTTCTTCTTGTTACGGAAGGTATGTGTGTGTGTGTCATCATCATCCTTAATATACTCGGAGCGTGACGTAAACGCGCCGCCATGTAGCTCAGTCGTCAACTCAGTGAGGTAGAATTAAGGACGTAAAAAGAAAAAAGAAAAAGGGTTATTTGAGCAAAACTGGAAAGAAGAGAGCAGTGAATTGTGGAGACAAAACAAAAGACTGAAACGTGTCAACGTCTGTGTCATTAGACTAAAACTCGGATTCGGTCTGAGAAAGAAAACAAACGTGCACACACACAGAGAGAGAGCAGAGCAAAGGAGAGAGAGAGAGAGAGAGTCGCCATTAGAATAGTCGAAGTAAAGAAAGTTGTGAGAGAGAGAGAGAGAAAAGAGAGAGAGCTAGATGAATATAATATACATTGACCTCTCTGTCTCATGAGGATGCACATGCTCCTCATCTCTCTCTTTCTCTCTCTCTCTCCACCTTAGTTATAGTAAAAATACCTATCTTTCACAATTCACATGCTCCTCATCTCTCTCTCTCTCTCTCTCTCTCATTTCATCTATTGGTTAATCTCTTCCCAATGCTCATTTGAAGTTTATTTACTCTACTCCCGACGACCACGTCTCTTCTTCAGATCTACTCACTCCCTTCATTCCCCCCCCCCCCTCTTTCTTCTTTCTTTTTATCTTCTGGTTTTCCGGTGACCTGAGTCCGAAAAGGTAAACCTTGTTGATCTCATCATCATCATCATCATCTCATCCCCCAACCCTTTCATTTGTTTCTTTTCTCCGGCTGGCTCATTCATGTCTCCGGCTTTCGTCTTTCGTTTTCAAACATTTCTTTCTGTTTCCGCCATTGACTCTTTAGAGGTTTTCATGATCCCCCTATTGATTCTTTTGTTTTTCTTCTCAATGCCATGTTTTTGTTTTTCTATTCAATCTCATGTTTAATTTTTCTCCAAACTGTTTTTTTCCCCGATCATTCCTTTTAAAAGTTTCATCCAATTGAACTAATTTTGTATTCATTTACTTGTAGTTTTTTTTTTCTATATATAATCAAAGTTAGTTTGTTTATGTTTCAATCTGATATAGAAACTGATCCAAGATTTTTTCTTTCTTAGAGGCTATGCAAATTTCAGCTTTTTCAAGCTTGTCCTCTTTGTTTTTATCATTTATTTGAAGTTTCCCGCTAACGTTTAATCCTAATTGGTCCACACAACTAGTTCTGGTGGTCCCTTTGCAAAATTCGAATATATATATTTTTCACATTTACAGATCAAGATGGATCGTCCTGACTCTAATCTCTATGTGAAATTACAGGTTCTTGGTCTGATCAAAGATTCTGCTTAAAAGGAAAAGTTTGTTAAAAAAAGATATTTGATAGGTTTGTCTGGTCCAATTGTGTATGTTCTTGTTGTATGAAGAGAAACTTTGATAAATGGTCTGTGAAATGGAGACTGATCAGATTGAGGAAATGGATGTCGAAGTCTTGTCTTCCATGTGGCCCGATGATGTCGGAACTGAAGCTGACAAACAGTTCAACGTTGAGAAACCTGCCGGAGATTTAGACATGTTGAAAGAAGTTACCATCAAAGAGGAACCCACCATTGCCGATTTGACCAAGTTACCTGAACTTCTGAATTCCACTCATCAGGGCACATCTCAGATTACCAACCTCGTCAAACAATGGAATTATATGCACGACAACGCTTCCCGGCTTTTAAGAGAAGAGCTTTTGAATCTCGATAGACAGAGAGAAGAAGCCGAGGCCAAAGAGCTCAAGATCATTGAAGATTACAAGTTTGAGAGCAACGAGCCTGAGAATGTTCCCGTTTTGGATGAGACCAGTGATCTCTTCCGCAAGTTTAGGCAGAAGAAGCGAGATGTCTTGGTTGATCGCAAAAAGATCGAGATCAACGAGGAGTTTGACACCGTTGCTTACTGGAAACAGAAGGCCTTAAGTTTGGAGAAAATGCTCGAAGCCAGTACCCAGAGAGAAAGAAGATTAATCGAGAAGCTGCATGAGAGTTTGAAGACTATGGAGAGTCACGCAGCACCTGTCCAAGAGCTAACTGAGAATCTTAAAAGAGCTGAAGGTTTCTTGCATTTTATACTTCAGAATGCACCTATTGTTATGGGCCATCAGGTTAGTCAAAAATGATTTTTTTCTTTTTCTTTTTAATCTTGTTTTCCATCATTTTGACTAATGTTTCTCTGATTACTTGTCACCTATGGGTTTCAGGATAAAGATTTACGCTACTTGTTCATCTATAACAAGTATCCTAGTTTGCGGGAACAGGTTAGAAAAAAACTGTTTGTTCTGTTGGGTTCTTGATCACTCTCCTGAGGAAACGTGCTTGAATCAAGACTTGTTTCCTACTAATTTCAGGACATTTTGGGAAAAACAGACGTTGAGATATTCCACGGAGGTGGAGTTAAAGAATCTGAAGATTTCAAAAGAGAAGTTCTTGAAAGAGGAAAAGCTTCAAAGAGAGAGATCACATTTACGACAGACTTATTCGGATCTAAGACGTTTTTGATATACGTCGAGCCTGTTTACAACAAAGCTGGCGAGAAGATCGGTATAAATTACATGGGAATGGAAGTAACTGATCAGGTTAGTTAACTAAGATTATTGAACCATATTTGTAATCTATGTTCTTATCTTCACATCTTCACTTTTATCTTCTTGTGTTACAGGTAGTGAAAAGGGAAAAGATGGCGAAACTTAGAGAAGATAACGCTGTGAGAAAGGCGATGGAATCAGAACTGAACAAGACCATTCATATTACAGGTTTGTTCAAGCAGTGAAATCAAACTTAAGAAAGATTCATGAGAAATCTAGACTAAATGTGGTGTTTGTGTGTTTCTTTTGGGCAGAGGAGACAATGAGAGCAAAGCAAATGCTAGCCACGATGTCTCATGAGATAAGATCACCGTTGTCGGGAGTAGTGGGAATGGCTGAGATACTTTCAACTACAAAACTGGATAAAGAGCAAAGACAGTTGTTGAATGTAATGATCTCCTCTGGAGATTTGGTGCTTCAGCTTATTAACGACATTCTTGATCTCTCCAAGGTTGAATCAGGTAAAAACATATACTCTTTCAAAAGTTTTGAACTTGTTGTGGTGTGATCATTTGTCAAATTCTTTGATCATTTGAGTCGTTGTGTATGTTCTTATTTAGGTGTGATGAAATTAGAAGCTACAAAGTTTCGACCAAGAGAAGTGGTGAAGCACGTGCTTCAGACAGCTGCAGCATCACTGAAGAAATCTTTGACATTAGAAGGAAACATTACAGATGATGTTCCTATTGAGGTTCATTACACAACAATCATATTTCTGAAAGAGCTAACGTGGTAATTAAGGTCTTTGTGATCGTTAACCATTTTCTCCTTTTATGTTCAGGTAGTTGGAGATGTTCTAAGGATTCGGCAGATCCTCACCAATTTGATAAGGTTCTTACATAAATCCTTGAGTTTTTATTTGCATGCTGACAAGTTTTGGTTCCTGACTGTTTCAAGTGTCCTGCAGCAATGCTATAAAATTTACGCATGAAGGACAGGTGGGGATTAAGCTCCAGGTGATATCAGAACCATCCTTTGCGAGAGAGAACGCATTGAACGCAGGCGCTGATGAAGATAATGGTTTGACTGAGACTTCTGTTTGGATTCGCTGCGACGTCTATGACACCGGAATTGGAATTCCAGGCAAGCAAGCAATTCTGAAAAACGAATTGTTTAAGAATGAAACGCCTACAAAACTATTTACTAACCCGGTCCATATTTAAATTTGGTGTTCTTTTGCAGAAAACGCTATTCCTTGTTTGTTCAAGAAGTACATGCAAGCAAGTACCGATCATGCCCGCAAATATGGTGGAACTGGTCTCGGACTTGCCATTTGTAAACAGCTGGTAACTATTCTTAAGATTTTACAACATAAGAGAAGAACTAAAAGAAGTTCGTTCTTCTAATCTTTCTCTATCTGTTTACAGGTTGAGTTAATGGGAGGTCAACTCACTGTGACAAGCCGGGTCAACGAAGGTTCAATATTCACATTCATATTACCCTATAAAGTTGCAACGTCAGATGATTATTCGGATGATCAAGATGAGTTCTCCGATATGACGGATCATCAATCTGAACCAGATGACACAACTGAAGGATATTTCCAGTTTAAACCGCTTCTAGGATCAATATATTCTAATGGTGGACCGGTCAATGGCAATGACTTCTTACCTCATAAAGTCATGCTCACTAGTCCTGTTAAGCTCATCAATGGGCTAGTCGCTGATCCTTCTAACAACACTGAACAAAGCGAGACAGTTCAGGTTGAAAACGGTGGTTACGTGGACGAGTCTAAACTCGAAACCAGTTCTGTTCATTGTCCTGAATCAGCTCACCAATATGAGAATGGAAATGGTCGATGTTTCTCTAAGGAATCTGAATCTTGTAGCAGTTCACAAGCTAGCTCAGAAAGTGGAACTTTAGAAATGGAGTCAGAGCTTACAGTTTCATCTCAAAGGGAAGAGGAGAAAGCCGATACAGATCTCAAAGAAACATCAAAGCCAAAGATTTTGCTTGTGGAAGATAATAAGATCAACATCATGGTTGCAAAGTCGATGATGAAACAATTAGGCCATACCATGGATATTGCAAATAATGGAGTTGAAGCCATAAATGCGATTAATCGCTCTAGCTACGATTTGGTACTCATGGTATGTTAATTGCTGTTCAAAGACTTGTCCTTTTCAAATTCACTTGAAAAGGCTTATAATTTAATTTGGGTTCACAGGATGTGTGCATGCCGGTTTTGGATGGTTTAAAAGCTACAAGACTAATCCGTTCATATGAAGAATCTGGAAACTGGAATGCTGCTATAGAAGCCGGAGTAGATAAAAAGACATTGGAGAATGACCAAGTTTGCGTGCGATCCACAAACCGGTTGCCAATAATTGCGGTTAGTACTTCTTCGAATTACATTAAACACCGAGTTACACAACTTGAGAAAACTGAAGAGTAAAGTGGATTGTTAAATGTGCAGATGACGGCAAATACGTTAGCAGAGAGTTCAGAAGAGTGTTATGCAAATGGTATGGACTCTTTTATTTCAAAACCTGTAACGTTGCAAAAACTTAGAGAGTGTTTACAACAGTATTTGCATTAAGATTTCAGAGTTTGGTGTTTGGTAGATTTAGTGGTTGTGTTGTGTAGATAATGTGTAGGGAAAGTTTTGGAGAGCTACTAAGTAGTTCCCTATTTAGGGATGTACAGTTCAATAAAAAAAGCTTGTCTTCTTTATTTATTTGTGGGAAATATATGGTCAGAGAAACGAGAAAACATTGTCGTTCCCACCATGAAAATCCAACAGCGTAAATAGCAGCCAAACTCTACAAAACGACAGACAGCATACTCAAGCTTTTTCGGACAGACTTATCTCGATTTCTGTTGGCTGTAACGCTGTATTCCATGGACATCCACAATCCCGGGAGGAAACACCGGATCCGTGGCAGCTCTAACCGCGACTTTTGCAACCGATTCAACATTCACCGGAGGTGTGAACAAAGGTCCGACTAACGGAAGCTGGTTCAGCGGTTTTGCTTGTTGGAGAACCTACAAAAAGCCACAAGCAGTATGAATAAAGAGGCAATCTTGAGAGGCTTGCAATGAAGAGGGAATTCTATTACCATCTCCATGGGTGAACCAAATACTCCCAATGGAATCTTCATGCTTCCAACACTGCGAGTTCCATAAATAAAACCAGGTCGCAAGATTATACCTGCCCAACATTCCAAAATTTCAAAAGTAATAACGGATATTTCAGAGAGCACTTTGTGGATGTAACATGAAAGCTATACCTCCATATGCAAATCTTGTGAGCAGCTCGGTCTCAGCAGCTCTCTGTAAGGATGAAATGAAGATTCTTAAGACAGCGTATACTAACCAAAAAGGGCTATACAATAGCAGTAGTTTGAAAAGTATATGATCACCTTTCCCTCATAGTATCCACTCAACAAGTAGTTGGCTAATCCGAAATCCGCAGCAGATATATAGACAAATCTTTTAACACCTGGTCAACAAAAGGAACACAATTAAAATGCCAGTAAACTTTTGCTAATCCAATATATGACCTGCTAATATATTTTCCAGGAAGCCATGGTGTCTAAAGTGGTAGCAGACAAATTCACATAACTTGTGTTCCCCTGCACCAATTATGCCTACGATCTATATATCCCCTGCCAATAACTGGGTTTTCAGTATCCTATGGTCCGTAGTGTTTATCTGAGATGAATATCTCAAAATTCTTACATGGCTACCTAAAAAAGATTATATTGTAAGCATTTATTCAGCCCTAGTTAATGCAAACTAAAAGAACACGTACCTTTTTCTGAGGCAGCCCTAATTGCGTTGATGTTGGCAGTCCCATTAATCTTATACATATATGAGTTTGAACCAAAACCACCAACACAAGAAATCTGCAATTATTCATTCTGAATTAGTTTCAATAATGTACAATCTACCAAAGCGGCACTAGTTCAATAAGTTAAAAATTCGTAGTAGACATCAAGTCTCTACATTTAATCCTGAAAACAGAGGAAAAACGTACCACAGAAGTCACCCCCTCAAGAGCATCTTTCAATAAATCAGATGATAGAAGGTTTCCTGACAACGAAAGAGAAAATATAAACAGGATATGAACACACTGGGAAAAAAGTATCAAGTTCCTACAAACATGTTGAAGAGTTAACATCAGTACCTTGATGCCATGTTACTCTGGTAGCCCAGGACTCTTTTAAAGACGACCTACCTGATCTAAAGCCCATAGGAATTGTAAAATACAAACACGTAAATCAACATCCAACATAGACCAGATTTATTAAAGCGCGAAGCTTCATATCGTGAGCCACAAATTTAAACAAAAGTGCACTTGATCTAAGACATAATTTCACTTCCTTGAATCAAATTAATTACATTACTGATCAGATACCTGCTAAGGCTAGAGACAGATAAACCGCGATCTAAAGCTTCTTTACAGACATGTGATCCCACAAAACCATTTCCACCCAGAACAAGCAGCTGAAAATACCATTCATGAACACCATTTTGCGATATCTTTACAACTAATCACAATGTAAAGATCCACAAAACTCATACCTTCTCGGTTGGAGGTGGAGGCACATGTACAGTCTCAGCTTCTTCCACATTGAAGGGCTCATCAATTTTGTTAGAGTCCGTCGAGAGATACCTCCCGCCACTCGTGGCAGAAACGAACCTAATGCAACATAATCCAGAAGCACAGAACACAAAAGTTAAGACAAGTATCTAAAATTAAATAATTAACTCTATTGCAGCGACCAAACCAATCATGAATTACACCCAAATCACCTACTTTTTTAGAATCTAGAACTTGACACCAACCCAGCTACGAGAAATTACCAAAACAAATGCGCATTACCCTCAAATACTCTACCGATACAGATGCTTAGATACTTGCAAAGTTTCTAGAAATGTCCGAGAAAGCTACCAATCGATGCCTCGAAGACGATTAAGGTGCGAGCAAAGTTACAAAAAGAGCGGAGGAAGAGACCACTCACCGTGACTGGGAAAGAGACGATTTGTAACGAATCAAACGCGAAACGATGGTCCTCATTTTCGAATCGGAGCAGCAGAGAAGAAGTGACTCGACGCAGAGATGAGCAAACAAAAAATTAAAAAATTTGTAAGAGGAGAGAGTCCGATGGCGATGGGAATAGAGGAGCACCCACGGCCAAATAACAGAGCAAAACGTCGAAAAGAGCGCTACAACTGAGAACACGTCGCCTCTTAAGGAGGTGCCACGTTGACCCTGACCCGAGGATCCGACTTTACCTTGTCCGGACCCATGGGAAGCCACGAGAGCAGCGCGTGCTACCAACGCGATATTTACTTGATATCAAATTGGTTGGGCCGAGACTAATTGGGCTTATATCCCAACACCGAACCATTTATAACAGATATATTTTCAAACGATTGTTTTTTGGTGTGAAAACTGGTCCGGACGTGGTTGGTTGGGAAAGAGTATAAATATCACAAGAAGACCGGGAAAGGGGTTTATCTATTGATCGTATGGACCACTAGAGTCTGGTAATGGTGGTAAGTATACAATGATCGCAACTATGGTGAATATTCTGAACTACAGACCGAACAGAGTAACAGCTGAAAGAAGGAGAGACTAGTAACTTGAGCAGAAAGAAATATGGAGAACAAGGTGCATGCGATCAAAATCAGAGTAGAGTCACACTCTGGGTTTTTATATTTCATAGATAGCATATGATCGGCTTGAGAACAAGATCAGAGTATTTTATTTTTCTGTTTGAATAAATATAACTATCATGTTCTTTAGGAAACATTTATACATAAACAACTACATATAGATGTATGTATTTATACACACACACACACATACACACCTATTCGTATGATTAAAATAATCATATTAAGTACATTTTCAATCCTAAATGCAAACGCAATCAACGATCTGTAAGTTTGTTAGCTGACTTTGAGGGAAGAAACGATGCAGAAGACTGTGTCTTTAGTTCCTAATGAATGAATAGAAGGAACACAAATCTACCCCAGTCACTGAATTTCTCTAAGGGTCACTGCTTCGTTGAGCTACTTTCAGGGACTGGTTTTTTATTCACTGAATGCCCTTCATTGGTGAAGTTGCTGCTTGCAGTGATCGGTTTGTGATTCGTTACATTCTCTGGTTTACTCCTTGAGCTGATGTTCTCTGAATCAGTCTGGACTTGGTTAGCTTCATTGGATGAGATAGTGAGGTCTCCAAGTGGCGGCATTTGATTGGATGCAGAGGAACTGGCATGGCTTGATGAAGCTGTCTGGTTATCAAGGAAACGAACGACCACACATGTGATGTTGTCTGCGCTACCTTTCTTTATTGCTTCTCCCACAAGTTTCTTCGCTGACTCCTCTGGGTCTTCAACTTCCTTAACCATTGCAACTGCGTCCTGCAAAATATGGTTAAAGAGTACAATAAAGTATTTGGAATTGGAAAGTAGACGACGTTAAAGAAGTTATTAGTTTCACAAACCTCGTTAGAGAAAACATCCCACAGTCCATCGCTTGCTAGGATCAAAAACTCAAGAGAATCATCAATCTTTTCTTCCTGTTTCAGTAAAAAATGGGTTCGGGGAAATTTATAAGCTTGAGAAACATAAGGATCAGAAAATCAAATGCAGTGTGGTTCTTATAAAAGTGAAGAAATACCCGTATTTCTGGATCAGCAACAACATACTGTTTCAGAAGCCGATCACCAAAAGCACGAGAAACTGCAAGAACTCCTCCAACCCTCCAAGTTCCTGTTCAATTGATGAACGCAACACACACAACAGTTAGGACTATGTTTTCAGAAAAACATGAAGCTGATAAATATAATCCTATCGTTTCTTGTTACTTACCTGCCCACATCACAAATCCACCAGCATTCTCAATCCTTTCACGCTCATCACTTTGGTCAGGTTTATGGTCCCTTGACACAGCAATGGCTGCAAACACACAGAATTATATATATAGGAACAGATTTATGAAAAAGGGCATTATACCTATCAGGATACTAAATGGTGGTAATGACGAAAATACAAGTCATAATAGATCTCCTTGAAAATTACCATTCCCCCCTCTGCTGATAACAGCTCTAGAGTCACCAACATTTGCCACAAGTAAACGATCACCAACAAGAATAGCTGTAGATGCAGTGGAACCAGCATCTCTATTGTGACTATTTTCTGACTTGAGAAGCTCAGAGTCTGTATGGTTATATGCATCAGCTGGAAACATTTGAAGCAAATTTAATGTCAGTTGAGAGTGCTGCATCTACAACAAATTGTCAAAAAAATAACTTTGCTCAGGGTTTTTTTCTGACAGTACTTATAGCTGATTTGGTGTCAGAGATAAACTTGGGGTGGGTGATCAGATTACTAAAAAGATGACGCTTCACATACTCAGCTGCTCTGGCTCCACCATGGCCTGGCAAAACAACAAGTAACATTATTGATTTCTTGTTCTCGAATGTCAATCCTAAACTATAAGCTACCATAACAGCGAGAACTCAGGGTTAATTAGCATAAAAAAAACCAAGCTTAAGGTCATGGCACATGTGAACAAGTGAACCATCAGGATTTTATAAGCTATGCTAGAAGTGATAATAATTCTAGGTTTCTTGAGATTAATATAAAGGTATTGTTAAGAAGAGCTGACGAGGGAAGATACCATCAAAAACTCCAAAGAGACCAACGATTTCTCCATCGACACCGTCGATCCTAGTCTCAAAAAAGTCTTCCATAGATGATCTCTTCCCAGCAGAGCTTGCATATCCATAGCTAAATTTCCCATTCTGGCTGAAATTGAATCATGTCATGTACAACACTCACACAATCAAACATTTAACACAGCAAAAAAAATCATATTTCATGATAAGGCAACCAATAAGATAAATCGAATAGATAGGGTCAAAGCACGATTACAGCAAACAATAAAATCCAATCATAGCTTATTGGTTCCAAATGATATTATACGCAAAGCAAAGAAATTAAAGATTAAAAAATGAGTTGAGATGAATGACCTGAGACCACCTCCGCTCGCTGGAGCTTCAACAATCGGCGGCTGGTTAGAATACGACAACGCCAAGTCTAAATATCCCATTTCTTTTTAGAATTTTGTTTCAAACGCTGGTTCTTTGAATCAATAGATGATTTTTGCGGTGACGCTCTTCTAATCTAAAACAAAAATTGAACCAAAATCGTCATCGATCTCAACAATCACGTTTCGTAAACACAGAAATTGATCGTTAAGTACCTGAAAATCCCATGAAATAATTAGGAGAGAAGAAGAAGAAGAAGAAGGGAGGGAGATTGATTGATTCTTCTCCTAGTTGAGAGGGAAAAGAGAAAACAGGTGATCGACGTTAAGAGAAGGGAGCATATTCCGGCGAACAGATAGATTTGTTTGCTAAAAATAGAAAGAACCACAAGTCAAATATGTAAATGAGCTGACACGTGTCACGTAAAGCAAGCGGGGTAGTAAGTATCACGTGGGTCCTTCACCAGTCCAGCCAGATGTACCTTTTTTAAAATTATTGGGCTCATAAATGGGCCTATTGTTTTAACTTGACTGGAGTATGGATAAGTCTACTCCTACTGCCAAACAGCAGCTAAAAACTTGCGATCGGAGAAGAAGAGTTGTGACTCGACGGTGCTGCACACGCATAGATAGTAGATCACTCGTACTCACTCCCATAGTTGCTGCTTCTCTTAACCCACCGGATCCGTTTTGAGATCAAGAAGGAGTTATTTTGTTATCGTCTTACATGGCGAAGGATCAGCACTTGCGACCTTGGTTTCTGGATCTAGTGCCAGCTTTGGTTATTTTCCTCGCCGCAGCTCATGTCATCGCATTGGTACTTTACGCGTGATCATGTCGTTTCTGTTCCTTCTTTTTATATGTTCTAACTGATCTCCTCTGGTTCGCAGGGTTACTGGATTTACAGATTAGCTACTGATCGTCGAGCTCAGAGTCAGAGAGGCAAATTTCACTGAAGAAACATCGAGTTGTAGGTTCGTAATCTCAACTACGGTGGTACTTCAATCTCAACAGTTTCGTTGGACTTTGCTTCCGATCTGATAGTTTCGTTCAGTGGGATGGTTTTTGTGATCATTGATTTTGTTGCTTGTGAGGATTTCGGAAATGTTTGCTTTAATTCGGCCTAATTATAAACGATCTTGATTATGTTGTTTAGCTGGAATTCACTAGTTCGTAATCAAAACTGTGTTCTAGCTTATAGCGATTATTATTCACTTTTCTGGTTGTTCTAATTAGATTTTTGTAAAAGTTTCCATTATTGCTTCATCAAACTAGTGTACTTGTCATTCTGGAGGCCACGAAATTTGAACATTACCAAGTGTTTTTCTTTGTGCTTAATGGTTGAATTGAGTTCTTGAGCTGGCCCTTGTGTTCTTTGTTCTTGATTCCTTCTCAATAATACTTTTGCGTATCATTCAGTGTCAGAAGACTATTGCAGACTTGCAGTCCTTTGATAAGTCTTCATAGTGAAAAATCTCAGATATTGCCTAATGCTACATCAGCTTAATTAACTCTGTCCGTATGTTGACGTCTTTCATGAGTATTAAGTATCGGATGGGAAAGATTCAAGGGAGTCTATGGTATTGGGTTGCTTGGGAGCCTTAGGACATGAGAGAGTGGGGGATGTTCAGAATTCATCCTTAGGTTTTGGTTTTTTTTTTTTTTTTTCTTTTGGATTTCTTATTTGTTCATCTTTTCTATGTGAATAAAGAAAACAGAGATCAGTAGTCTGGTTCTTATCCTCCTACTTTCTCGATCTATGTTTCCGTTTGAGTCTCTTACTATATCCTCACATACAGATCATTCACTAGGTGGTTTCATATGGCAGGTACCCTACTTCAGTGGTGTTTCACACATTGTCTGAGGGTAAGGCCAAATCCCAAGGTTTTATCCATTTGTGTTCATCAAGACAGAGTTGTAGTTTGTTTGTATTAGAACTGAGAATATATGATCTCTAACCAAGAGCCTACTTCTGCTACAGGGCCCAAGAGAACCGACTAGAAGATGTAACCAAGCGTAGAAAATTGTCTTCGGAAATCATTTTATTTGGCTGGAAATGGTGTTTGAGTAATGAGTAGTCAGCTTTTAAGACAAAAATCACAATGTGGCATTGTATAGTTTGTAAGCCTTGAATAGAAAATGAGGACTAAACAAAAATCCCTTCAAAGCAGTTTTGGAAAATTTAAATCACAAAATCAAGCATTACATTTGTTTAATTTTTTCTCATTTCAAGTTTCATCAAGGATCTTTTAACCAATTCACTGATTTTGTAGTTTTCTGTTTCTGCTTATGCTATTATGTGACAACTCTTATAAGAGCTTCAATTAGCTGTCATAGATTCATGATTCATCCACTGATACTTGACCTCATAGTGATTAGTGTCTAGTCTTTTTAACTACAGATCCAATGTTTGATTACCTAACCTTCCATATATTTGGCCGGCGTGTGTATATATTTCATCTGTATTAATCCAATTCCACTTGATACAGGGTAACAGAGATATTAATCCATTTTAAAACGCTTTTCTTACGCGGGACGCTGTTTCTACTTTTGCAACTTTTTATGATGAAGAAAGCAACCAAAGTAAAAGAGAGAGATAGCGAATATACTTATTTATGTTAATAAATTCGTAATTGTATCATATTTTATTGATAATACCAGCTACAATTGCCAATGCATGCCACTGCCACCAAGTCATTAGCTTTGTATTTTTCTACTTTACGTGTATATTTTTCTATTTATTAAAATTATATACAAAAACTTATTAATGATGATAGTATGTCGACAAAAAGTTGTTCGTGGCCTACTGCCAAATGCAATAATTTATGGTTGGTTGGTTTTACACGTGGTATCTCCCTTTAATTCCTGATCTATGCAAATAATTCACTAATCAAAAACATGAAATTGTCCAAAAAAAAAATGTAAAAAGAAGAACAAATCTTTGTTTTTACAAGAAAGAAAATATTAATATGCCCTATACGGCGTAGATTCATTTGCAAGAAACTTTATTAGAAGTAAAAAAAAAAAAAAGGGAAATCTCACATTATTATCGTCATTAAATAAAAAAACACATGAAAATCAAAATACAGATAAGCCAAAGCGAGTATTGGAGTTTTTAGCTATAAAAGTCCAAAGCCATTTCAATCCCTTGTTTTGTCACACCGCACAAACAAAGTCGTCTTTTGAAGAGAGAGAGAGAGAAAGAGAGGGAGAGAGAAGGGCCAACGACCACAGAGACACAGACTCTCCAAATAAACTATGAGCCCTTCCAAGCAGCGACATCGTAGCTCAACCGGCGAAAACAAATCAAAACCGGTCAGATCCGGTTCATCCTCCGCCTTACCGGAATGGATTGCCGAAGCAACCAACGGCGGATCTCTTCGCCGCGTAGATCCCGATACAGGCACCGACGGCTGGGCTTCTCCTCCTGGCGATGTTTTCTCTCTCCGCTCCGGTTCTTACTTGACCAAGAAACAAAAATCTCCCGGCGGTGATTACCTCCTCGCTCCCGCCGGCGTGGACTGGCTCAAATCAAGTTCGAAGCTCGATAACGTGCTCGCTCGTCCCGATAACCGTGTGGCTCACGCGCTTAGAAAAGCTCAATCCCGTGGTCAATCTCTCAAGAGCTTCATCTTCGCCGTGAATCTCCAGATTCCAGGTAAAGATCACCACAGCGCCGTGTTCTACTTCGCGACGGAGGAACCTATCCCTTCCGGTTCGCTTCTCCACCGGTTCATCAACGGCGACGATGCCTTCCGGAACCAGAGATTTAAAATCGTGAACCGGATCGTGAAAGGTCCTTGGGTAGTGAAAGCCGCGGTGGGGAACTACGGCGCTTGTCTTCTAGGTAAAGCCTTGACGTGCAATTACCACAGAGGTCCTAACTACTTTGAAATCGATGTCGACATTAGCAGCTCGGCCATCGCAACCGCCATTTTGCGGCTAGCTTTAGGGTACGTGACGAGCGTGACGATCGATATGGGGTTCTTGGCTGAAGCGCAGACGGAGGATGAGCTGCCGGAGAAATTAATCGGAGCTGTTAGGGTTTGTCAAATGGAGATGTCGTCAGCGTTTGTGGTCGACGCTCCACCGCCGCAGCAATTGCCGTCGCAACCGTGTAGAACGTTGAGTTCGGCGAAAGTTAACCACGACGAAGACGAGGATTGAGATTTTTAAATTTGAGCTACAACAGGTCAAAATGGTTTATTTGAAATTCATTTCTCTCTTCTCTTCTCTCTCTCAAAGAATCGGAAACAATTTTTCGTTAATCTCAGTCAAATCTATAGTAATTGTTACTTTTTGTTTATGGATTTTGTAAATAAACTCGAGAGTTTTTTCATGATATATTATTCAATGGAATTAAATTGAAAATTCGATACGGATTCATGATATATTCGTCTTTGCTGGAACTGTTGGTGTGTCATGTTTTTGATGAAAAACCAGAATAGTCCACTTTTGTCTTAAGAGTAAGCCGTGTGACGATCATTTTTGAGTCGTGTGACAGATTAGTCAAATGTTGAAAGCTTTGGCGTATATTTTTATGCTCTGCATCCGAAAAAGTATACAATGAATATATGCTTTTTCGGGTAAAAGATTACACGCTTAAGGAAAAAAGATGATCTGATAGCTTAAAAATTTGGACTTGGGAAGTAAGCAAATGTTGAAGCATGTTTGACGTTACTGAAAAAAACTTACTTCCAAGTCAGGCTGAAGAATATATCAATACATCACGAAAATGTCCCATAAAAAAAAAGTTGAAAATTTATTTATTTCTTAGTAATGGAATCAAGCTAATTTATGTGCCAAATCCTTACATTACAATATAACACTCACTCTCTCTCTCTCTTGTTTCATCATCATTAGCTACAACCATTAGGAGCAAACCCGACTCGTCCACCAGCCACGTCGTACACAATCTCCATCGTCTTCTGCTGAACATTTCCAAAGATGGCGGGAATGTCATCTTCCCCTGCAAACGCCAAACAAACCTGTGACTGCGTCAACGGATACAAAATCCCCATTCCATCAAGTTCTACGACAGTGCCACCGCCCATGGAGAATGCAATCGTAGGGAGTGTCACCGTATCCAATCCCGTGAAATCGTAACATGTGTCCAAAATCGAGCGTCCCGGCGTAGACTTGTAACTAGACATTTTTTCCTTGAACACGCTCCGAAGTTCCGCGTAGACCTTGGTAGGGAGGCGAGTAATCACGGTACCGGAATCTATTATAGCACCGTCCCTCGAGAATGAGGTTGGAGTAATCTCTAGTTCATTGTCGCCTACGCTGATACCTACGATGTCTATGCCATAACTGGATGGGCTTGGGAAGGAAGAAACCGGGGTGAATTTAACGGAATTAGAGATTCCAGCGGATCCAAAGGTGAGATGGCCGGTGTTACTTTCTGAAGAAGGGAGGCAGTAGGAGAAAATATTGTTGTAGGTCGTAGCTGTCTGCGACGGAATCGAGAGTTTGTCACGGCCAAGGCCAAGGATCCCAGCAGCACCGTTGAAAAGCCCTTGGTTGTTCTCACCGCAACCAAAGTAAACATCGTCCAAGACATCATTGGCTAGGGTAAATCTTTCCTTGGCGAGGAATCCTTGTGTAAACGAATTATCGCCGTAAAGGACTTCGTATAGGCACTTGGAATCCGAACAACTTGCAGCGTTTTCACACATTTGAGATGAGCACGGGACGTTGTGGTAAGAAGATGATGAAGAAGCATTAAAGATTGGTTCCGTTTGCGAATAGCAGCTTTTAAGACATGGCTGACATTGAGTCCATGTCAAATCGCTTCCGGTGTCGAAGACCAGCGATAAATCGTGCTTCGGTGTCCCGATTCCTACTGTTATAATGTAGTTGGCTGAACCGAGTATGCTTCCGTCTTTAGCCGGTAGCTCGGTTGACTTGGTCATGCTGACTGATCCATCTGCGATATTCTTGGACAATTTGGAGCGGATGGACTCCACGCGTGCTTGATCGCGTCTGAGGATTTCTTCATGGTCGAGTCTCGCATCTTTGTTGGTCCTAAGATGCGAGCACGCGCCGTGCATGTGTACCACACGAACTGACGACTTGCTATTAGATGCTGCAGTGCAAAAAAAAAAAAAAAACACAAAACTTTTTACATCTATTGATTGAAAAAAGGGATTTTAAACGCAATGATTCATTTAAACTGGCTAAGATAATCACCTTTTGAAGAAAGAACACAAGATGATGATGAAGGAAATAGAGAGCTGACTTGAAAGGTGTACGAATCATCTTTTTTCTCAGCTCCTTCGGTAAAACACCAACTGAGACATACACAAAGTAAAAGTATCACATTCAAGAAATTTTTCATTATACTCATTTCACCCTCTCTCTCTCTCTGTCTCAGAATAACTAATGAGATTGTTACACAATTATACGAAATTACTTGGTTGGTCCTTTTATAGACGATTAGACGTTATATATCTTTGCTGAAGATAAGTGCTGAATGGCTGTTGTCAAATCTCTAAGCTATCACTGCATATCACATAACTAAGCAAAGACCCCATCCGCATTGTGTTTAATATGTCGTCTCTGTAGACCGACGACTCCAAGTCTCAAGTCTCCAAGGTTTTGTATTTTTGTTCGATAACGTACTATTTTATAGGGGATTGAAACATTTTGTTTTTTAGTTTTGTTTGAATGTAGAATTGATTAATCAAACTGTGGGAATGAATATGTACAAAAATCATATAATGGAGACTAGGAATGTAACATGCCTCTAGATATTATTATTAGCGTTTATTTTGTCTCTAGGCTACAAGTTTGGCGTAATTGAGGGGTTGTGATTAACACTATATGTTGATGTAATTCTGTTCTTTCGTCCATCACTCAAGTAACTGTAAACTGTTTTATTAAAGTTCAGTTAAAGGCATTGTTCCTTATTTAGGTTTTACAAAAAGTGACCAAGAAAAAACGTAGAACCTGATTTGTGAATTCGCTTAACGACCAGTGCAGCAAACAAAGAAGTTTGATTGAATAGTACTGTATAGATGAAACTAAGTAAATCCATTTAAGTCCGAAGCGAAAATGTTGAAAACTTTGGGGTAATTAAGTATTAAGTATTTTTTTTTTGGTAATGGATAGGAGACAAAAGTCTCCTATAATTTATTCAAACCGAAAAAACAATTACAATCTAACATTCCGTTGGACCGATCGCCCATTCATATCATCCAACAAAACCGAAGTAACTTCATCCGGACAAAAATCAAAAACTCTAATACCAAAATCTAAAGTAAACGCATAGTTAGCTAATCCGTCGGCAAGACGATTAGCCTCCCTATACACGTGAGTCACCCGGACTAACCAGTCTCTTGAAATAAAGCCGTGGCACAAGCGTACCAGGAAAGCCAGCGGATGCATCTCCGGAACCCCTGACTGTAAAAAACCCACCACCAAAACCGAATCCACTTCCAAAATCACCGCCTCCAACCGCGTTCCCATGCTAACACCAGCCCGTAATAAACTCCCAAAAGTTCCGCCAACGGAGCCGAGCAAAGGCCTATATTCAAGGAAAATCCCACTAACCATTCCCCATCTGCATTGCGAATAACCCCACCCGCCGTTGCCTTGCCCGGATTTCCCCTTGACGCCCCATCCGTGTTAACCGTCACCCAACTCTCAGCCGGCTTCTTCCAAGAAATTAACCTCTCTACTCTTGCATTCGGAGTCGAAGTACCTCGTTCACTGGCATGAACCTTGACAACCTCATCCGCTACACGCTTAATGAAGCCCAATCTATCCCTGCACAATCCTCGCTCGCCAAACACATCTCGGCAACGCCATTTCCAAGCCCACCACGTCGCCATAGCAAAAATCGTGGGCCATTTTGAATCCCGTGTTGGGTGCTTGGTATTCAAGTTGTCAAACAACCATTCCAAAAGAGAACGTGTGAAAAAACCTCCTCGTTCTCTCTCCGGTACCAAACGTGCCCATAGACCAGCCATAGCCGGACAGTCTCGTAGCACATGTAATATCGACTCCGTTGCCCCTCGACAGACCTGACAAACATCCGAATCCGCCATATGCCTCCTAGTTCTCTCGGCATTAGTCAAAATCACCTGATGGCCAACTAACCAAAGAAAGCTCCGTATTCGTTCCGGTGCCACCACTCCCCAAATTCTACCGAAGAACCGCTCCATACATTGCCCAACTGCATTCCCTTTCGTGAACAAAGAGTAAGCTGATCCCACCGTAAACCCCCCATTCTCGGATCCTTTCCAAGATAACTTATCCTCCAACCCAGGCACACCCTGAATCACCACTGCATACAATCTCTGTGTCATATTGTCCGGCAAATACAAGCCTAGCCGCCCCATGTCCCAGCCTGATCCTTCGATCCAATAATCCGCCGCACACGCTAATTCTTCATTTTCCGGAACACGCGATGTAGTCCAATCAATCAAAGGAGCATTCATTAACCATCTATCCGACCCGAAACGGATAGATCTTCCATCACCAGGGACCCATCCGATACCCTTCGACACCACGTCTCGCAAACCTATTCCGATACTTCGCCATGTTGACGACCACGTACTCTTTGGTTTCAACCATGAAACGTCATGCACATCACCAACCTTATACTTGCATCGCAACACACGGGCCCATAAACCATCTCGATCAGTTAGAACTCGCCACCCTAACTTGGCTAGAAGCGCACGGTGCATGTCGCTTGCCTTCCGTAATCCCAAACCACCCTCTCGTTTAGGTTTGCACACCTTCGCCCATGATAGCAAATGAATTTTTCGTTGCCCTTGTGAATCACCCCACAAGAAAGATCTCGAGGCCTTATCCAAAGCTTCCAACGTCGACGCTGGTAATAACATCGAGCTCATTGCGTGCACTGGGAGAGACGACAAAACCGCTTTAGTAAGTGTTATCCGTCCCGCCAAGCTTAAAGTGTGCCTCTTCCAACCAGCCAGCCGAGAAGAAGCTCGCTCTAAGACCTCCCCGAATGTCTCTTTATTAATTCTCTTATGCAATATTGGCATTCCCAAATACTTTCCGAGGTCCCTCGTTACGCTTACACCACTCTCCACACTAATTAGCCTTTCCATATCTCGGCTAACATTCTCCGAAAAAAATATCTTCGACTTCTCAAGACTGACCTTCTGACCGGAAGCCATACAAAACGTATCCAGAACCTTCCGAATAACCCGAACTTGAGCAACGGATGCTTCCGCAAACAGGATTATATCATCCGCAAAGCAAACGTGCGAAAGCTTAGGGCCACCCCTAGATATCCCAATCGGTTTCCACTCTCGACGTTCCACTGCCCCCTCAATAAGGTGGCACAACCTCTCGAGGCACAAAACAAACAAATAAGGGGATAAGGGGTCCCCCTGTCGTAGCCCCCTCGCTGGCCGAAATGCATGTGTTTTTTCGCCATTCAACAACAAACACATAGACGGGTTGGAGACACACTCCATTATCCTCTTTCGCCACTCTTCTGTTAACCCCACCGCCGTTAGTGTTTCTTCTAAAAAATCCCAACGAATTCGATCATAAGCCTTCTCTAGGTCCAGCTTCAAAAGCATCCAACCCTTTCTCCCTTTCTTCCGTCTCATCGAATGCACCGTCTCCTGAACAATCACAATGTTGTCGATACTCAACCTTCCTGGGATAAAACTAGCTTGTGCTGGTCCAATTAATTTGGAGATCACCTTCTTTAACCGCAACACCATCATCTTAGTAATGACTTTAAACAACACATTGCATAAACTCACTGGTCTAAACTGAGTTATGCGTTCCGGCTTGGCCACCTTGGCTAACAAGACAATCAAAGCATCATTAGCCGCCTGAGGTAATACTCCAGTCTCAAAGAACCCCAATACAAAACGTTTAACCGAGTCTCCAACTATATCCCAGCAATGGTGATAGAAAACCGCTTGATAACCATCCGGCCCCGGCGCCTTAAAACGTCCCATGTTTTTCACAGCCACCCACACTTCATCCTCCGTGAAAGGTTTAGCTAACTCCATCCTCTCCGCCATAGTCATTCCTGGAAAACCCTCCATTGGCAAAGTCGGTCTTTCCACGCTTAATCCCTCCAATGAGTACAACATCTGATAATAATCAAGTGCAAACTTTTCCAACTCCACTTTCTCGGATACCCATCGGTCATCCGCACCTCTCAGCATCTCAATCTTATTATGTTGTCTTCTAATCACCGTAGACGTGTGGAAAAAAGTTGTATTACGGTCCCCCAAGGCAATCAACTTCTCTCTTGACTTTTGAAACCAAAGCATCTCCTCTTGCTCTAACAACTGCTCAAAACTCTTAAGCAAAGTCTCTTCCTTGACCAGCAAGTTATCCGCTTGCGCCTCTGTTAAAGCCTCTTGTACCTCCTTAATCTCCTTCATTAGCTTCTCTTTACGTGTATTAATAACACCAAAAACTTCCTTATTCCATTTCTTTAAAGTCCTCTGCAAAACTTCCAGCGCCTTTGGAGTGGTGATATGCGGATCCCAAGAAACCGACACCAACTCCTTAAAGCTCTCATGGCTCAACCAAGCTGCCTCAAATCTAAATGGCCGTCTCCTTGGATCCCCATTACTCTTCGGGCACAACTGCAAAAAGAGGGGAGCATGATCCGACGAAAGAAAGGGAAGGTGTGAAACTACCGCCTCCTGCCACTTAAGTCTCGCGTGAGGGTTACAAACCACACGATCCAATCTCTTTGCAATAAAAGTACTTGCCACCCGACCCCTTCTCCATGTATAAGGCCCTTTTTTAAAGCCCATATCTATTAAAGACAACTCATTCACCCATTCCCCAAACGCTATAGAATCCGGCGACAACCGACCGTTTCCTCCAGTACGTTCGTCCAACCTTAAAATCGTATTAAAGTCTCCTCCCACTATGACCGGTCCATCCATCCCATTTATCAAATCCCGCAGCGTTCCCCATAAACCGCTCCGGCGAGTCACTGTTGGTGCTGCATACACTACCACCAAGTTACTCGCATCCTCCCCCGTCCCTATTCTTGCATGGATAAACTGATTAGACGAAGTTATGACCTCCACATGACCGATCCGTGACCTCCATAACAACCACAGTCCACCACTTTGCCCCACCGCATCCACTCGAAACGAGTTCTCAAACCCCAATCGATGACATCTCTGTCCCGCCCTCTCTCCCTCCGCGTGCGTTTCAAACAATGCCAAGACATCGGTGTCAAACCTCTTTAACATGTATCTTATCGATCTTCTAAAATTGGGTTTATTCGCCCCCCGGCAATTCCAAAATATGCAATTCATCATAAAAATTTGTAAACAGTGGAGAATCACCGGGGCGACCCATTATTTCACTTTCACGTCTTCCCCAACCTCCATTGGGCCTTCCTTTAGACTAAACGCATCCCGTAGCAACGCGAGTTCACTCTTGTCCGGACCCATATTCATCTCTTGCTCTAGGCTTTGTAAGGGTTGTCTCTCCTCCTCCGTTACAGCTCGGCCTGCCCGGTAGACACCCCCTGCTCTACCAACTGCCTCCGACTCAACCCGTAACCTCTTACCCGAACCAATGTTCTCATTCTCACCCCTCATGGGGCCAAAAATTAATCCTCTAGTGGGCTTGATCTGTTTCGGCCCATTCTTCCTCGGCGTAACATTTCTCCATCCTTTGAGCCCATTAGCCTTCTTGCTTACTTCTCCGTCCTTTGCCGAAAACACATTACCAAAATAATTATTTTCCTTTCCTTGCTCCACACGCATTACATCATGCGATATATTCGCCAACTGCGGACTTTCCTTATTTTTCTCCTTCCGTACCATACTTGGCTCTATACCTTCCGTTTCACCCCCCGCATTTAAGCCAGTAAATCTGTTAGATATGGCAACATTTCCTAAAGCCGGAGTGTTCGTAATCTCCTCCTGATTTCTCTCATTCCCCGGACTTTTGTCCACCACCGCCACCATCTCATTCCTCACCACCGGTGATCCTCTCCGATTCGTCCTTCGAACTTCCGTGAATCCATCACTTGTTGATCTAGCCGGCTGTACTCTGGGCTGGCTCACACGCTCTGCCAAACTCCGAGGACAATTGTTCACCAAGTGTCCATAAATCCCACATGAGGAGCATATAGTACTCAGCCCCTCATACGCCACCGCGTATCTCTCACCATTCACCAATACCGACCCTTTCAATGGTTTCTTCAGGTTGACCTCCACACACACCCGAGCAAACCGTGCTCTATTCAACTGCAACGTCGTCATATCCACCCGAAGTGGTTTCCCTAACGCCCCTGAGACCTTTGATAAAATTACTTTGTGATACAGATTAACCGGGAGACTTGAAATCCGCACCCACACTGGTGTCGTAACAATCTCATCTTTCAACGGGTCAAACTCCGGTGTCCATGCCTGCACCATCAAAATACTTCCAAACAACCGCCATGGACCTCCTGTAACCGCTGCCAAGTAGTCGGCCTTATTGTCAAACCTTACGAGAAAGAACTGCTTGGGTAGATCCACCACATACATCCCCCCACTCGGTTTCAACAGCTCGCGCAATTTTCGAACCAGCGCCGCAATCGGGACGTGTCTCCCCAAAACTTTCACAATCAGACAGTGCTTCCACAAATCGTTCATGGCTGATAACACTTCTGGCTCCACGGTGATCACCCCTTCTCCATCCTTCCCATTCGGGAACTCCAACCGGGTTCCCGCCGATACAAACTCATCATCCAACACTCTCTCCGCCACTGGTACACCCCCAACATTACTCCCCTGCACCTTCTCCACCCAAGATCGAAGAGGGGCCGTAGGAACATCCGGTGGACGTCCCATCTCCTCCATACTCGTATCTTGGATTTCAGTACCCGGAACCCTAGCCGTCATCCTCTTGATCACTTATTATGTAGCTTACCTGATCATGTTCAAGTTGCGGTCTCTTTTTTTATTTTCGGTAAACAATCATATTAAGTATTAAGTATTAGTTTTATTCCTCTAAATCCAAAAAAAAAAGTATGTAATTAAGATTTATGGTTTGTTTTTGGTGAAAGATTACACTCTTGAGGAAAGAGATGATATTGATAAGCTTAAATTGGACTTGGAAAGTAAGCAAATATTTGAAGCATGTTTGACGTTAATTACTAAGTCAGGATTAAGGATTATATTATTTCAAATGTCCCTAGAGAAAAAAAAGAAGAAGTTCAAGTTTATAAAAAAAAAATTTAAGATTACTTCACAGACATACACAATCGAGCTAATACTCACTCTCTCTCTTTCTATCACCATTATTCATTAGCTACAACCATTGGAAGCAAACCCGATTCGTCCACCAGCCACGTCGTACACAATCTCTAGTGTCTTCTGCTGAACGTTTCCAAAGATGGCCGGAAGGTCATCCTCCCCTGCAAACGCCAAACAAACCTGTGACTGCGTCAACGGATACAAAATCCCCATTCGACCAAGTTCTACGACGGTGCCACCGCCCAAGGAGAATGCAATCTTGGGGATTGTCATTGTGTCCACGCCAGTGAAATCGTAACATGTATCAAAAATAGAGCGTCCCGACGTAGCCTTGTAACTCGACATTTTTTCCTTGAACACCCTCCGCAGTTCCGCGTAGACCTTGGTAGGGAGGCGAGTAATCACCGTACCGGAGTCTATTATAGCACCCTTCGTCGAGAATGAAGCTGGAGTAATCTCTAGTTCCTTATCGCCTACACTGATACCTACAATATTGATGCCATAGCTGGATGGGCTTGGGAAGGAAGAAATCGGGGTGAATTTAACGGAATTAGAGATTCCAGCGGATCCAAAGGTAAGATGACCGGTGTTACTTGGGGAAGAAGGGAGGCAGTAGGAGAAGATATTGTTGTAAGTCGTTGTTGCCTGTGACGGAAGTGAGAATTTGCCACGACCGAGGCCAAGAATCCCAGCAGTACGGAAGAAAAGCCCTTTGTTGTACTCACCGCAACCAAAGTAAACATCGTCCAAGACATCAGAGTTGGTTAGGGTAATTTTTTCCTTGGAGAGAAATCCTCGGGTAAACGAATTATCGCCGTAAAGGATTCCGTATACGCAGTTGGAAGCCGAGCAAGCACCGGTTTTGCAAATTGGAGATGAGCACGAGACGTTGTGGTAAGAAGAAGATGAAGAAGGGTTAAAGATTGGTTCCTTTTGGGAATAGCAGCTTCCAAGACATGGCTGGCACTGAGTCCACGTCAAATCGCTTCCAGTATCGAAGACCAGCGATAAATCGTGCTTTGGTGTCCCGATTCCTACTGTAACGATGTAGTTGGCTGAACCGAGTGTCTTTCCGATCGTAGCCTGTAGCTCGGTTGACTTGATCATGCTGATTCCATCTGCGTTATTCTTCTTGGACAATTTGGAGCGAATGGACTCCACTCGTGCTTGATCGCATCTGAGGATTTCGTCATGGTCGAGACTCGCATCTTTGTTGCTCCTTAGATGCGAGCACGTGCCATGCATGTGAACCACACGAATCGACGATTTGGTATTAGGGGCTGTGTAAAAAAAGAATTATCATGTTAAAATATTAAAAGAGACACAAAACTTCTTACATATATCGGGAAAAAAATATAACAAAGACTTGAAAGGTGTAGGAATCATTTAAATTGGCTAAGATAATAACCTTTTGAAGAAAGAACACAAGTTGAAGATGAAGGAAATAGAAAGCTGACTTGAAAGGTGTAGGAATCAGCCTTTCCACTCTCTTTTTTCTCAGCCCCTTCGGTAAAACGCCAATTTAGACATACACAAAGGATAAGTATCACATTCAAGAAATTCTTCATTACGCTCATTTTCACCCTCTCTCTCTCTCTCGCACACGATAATGAATGAAATTCTTACTCAATTACATGAAATTGGTTGGTCCATTTATAGCCGTTATATATCTTTGCTGAAGATAAGTGTCAAGTGGCTGTTGTTAAAACACTAAGCTATCACATAATTAAGCAAAGACCCCATCCCCATTGTGTTTGATATGTCGTCTCTCGAGACCCACTCCAAGTCTCAAATATCCAAGGTGGTGTTGTATTTATGTTCGGTAACGTACTTACTAAGGGATTGTAACATTTTTGTTTTTAGTTTTGTTTGAATGTAGAATTGATTAATCAAACTGTGGGTAGGATTGTAACATTTCTCTAGATATTATTATTATTATTATTAGCTTGTTATATTGTGTCTAGACTACAAGTTTGGCATAACATTGAGGAGGGGTTGTAATTAAAAGTAAAGCAGATGCTCATGTTATTCTGTTTTTTTTTCTGGTCTTCACTCAAGTATCCAAGTATAGCGTACCACTGAATGAATTGTATTATCCCACTAAAAGTTTAAGATTGATTAAACAGTGAACTATAGAAATAACTAGCTCTATTGTTTTCTAGCAGCAAACGAAGAAGTTTGATTGAATAGTAGTAGTAAATGAAAGTACCTCTGTAACTAAGTCCGAAGCTAAATCTGGCCGAATCACAAAACCAAAGCTTTGACTTGTATTATAAAAAGTAACAAGTCCATTAAAACCAATTGAAAACTCACCATCCAATGACAAACTTGTTATATTTTGCACTTGGTCACCCAAATTACACACTTGGTTAAGAATGAAACTATTTAATATGTGTGAAAACATATACAAAAGCATTTTAAGCACAACCTTGAGGAGCAAAGCCGACCCGTCTAGCAGCGACGTCGTAGACAACTTGTAGCGTCTGCTGCTGAATGCTTCCAAAAATGAAGGCTAGGTCATCACCAGCAAACGCCAAACAAACCTTTGATCTACTCTGCGAATACAAAATCCCTTTCGGATCGAGTTCCACGACGTTGCCGCCCTTGAATGTGAACGTGATCCTCGGGATTTTCACCGACTCCAAGCCGGTGAAATCGTAACACGTGTCCAATGAGCCATCTCCCGACGACGTGATCTTATAAGTCGACATCTTCTCCTTAAACGCGCTCTTCAGAGCCGCGTACGCCTTTTGAGGAAGGCGAGTGATCACAGTGCCAGAGTCGATTATAGCACCTGACGTCGGGAACACGGCTGAAGGAATTCCCAGTTGCTTACCGCAGACTGTGATTCCCACGATTTCGAGGCTGTACCAGTTTCTTGTCGAGGAAGAAATCGGCGTGAATTTGACGGATTCAGAGATCCCAACGGATCCGAAGGTGAGATGGCCACCGTTACCGGATGAAGGGAGACAATAAGAAAACATTTTGTTGTAGGTCTGCGACGGAAATGAGAGTTCGCCGCGGCCTAAACCGAGAATTCCGGCGACACCGTAGTACTTTCCCTTATTGTTGTCACCGCATCCGAATTTAACGTCGAAGACATCGGAGTTCGTGAGAGTAATCTTCTCCGTGGCGAGAAATCCTTGGGAAGTCGATTTATCAGCGTATACGGCTTTGTAGCGGCAAGTGGAAGCGGAACAGTCTCCTTTGAGACCTATTATATAGGAAACAGGTAAATTTCTTTTAAAAATCATTTCGGTTTAACATAACCGGAACCAACATAAATTGCACAATCGTGAGAACTGAACCGAACCGAACCGAACCTCTGAGAGAATTACACGCCCGTGATGAGCACGAGACGTTGACGTAGGAAGTAGACGAAGAAGGGTTAAAGAGTGGTTCCTTCTGAGGATAACACTTAGATTCAAGGCAGGGTTGGCACTGGACCCAAGTCAAATCGCTGCCAGTATCGAACAGAAGTGACAAATCCTGTTTTGGTGTCCCGATTCCGATCTTCACCACGTACGTCCCCGCGCCCGACTCGTCCCATTGCGTAGCCGGTAGATCCGTCAACTGACTCGGCCTAACTTGGTTCTTTGAAAGCTTCGACTGTATTGAGTCCACGCGCGCTTGATCACGTCTTAGGATCTCATCGTGGTCGGGACTCGTTGTGGCTTTGCCGCTCATGAGATGCGAGCACGGCCCGTGCCTGTGCACCAAGAGCAGCGACGACTTCGTCTGCGATGCTATACAGAGAATTTAACTTTCAAATTTTAGTTTTACAAAAGACTACTTTAATTAAAGAATATTATTTGGCTAAAATTCAACTAATTAAAGAACTAGTTGACCAAAAAAAACAAACTTAAAGACATACGAAAAAATTATATATTCTATATCAATATTCACATAATATATATAGCTAAACACAACTAAATCATTAGAGATTGAGTTAAATTGGCTAAGATAATGTCACCTTTTGAAGAAAGCAGACACGATGATAATGATGATGAAGAAGAAGAAGGAAATAGAGAGCTGACTAGTATTGTCTGAGAACAAGTCCCTCTTTCTTTAGCTCCATCACTACGCCCAAAATTGAGACATACACAAAGGATTATTATGATATCCAACAAATTCCTCATGACTATGCTCATTTTTACTCTCTCCATCGATGCAATAAAACTGTCACTCAAATTACATGAAATTGGCTGGTCCTTTTATAACCGATTTGTTTGCTGACCGAGTCAAACCTTTACTCCCTAGTCCCTACATGCTGTTTAACTATTGGCCACCCATATTATATAAATAAGTAGGGGCACGAACCCATTGACTTCAAGTTCAGCGTGCCAAAGGAGTTGTGAATTGTGACTAGGCTCCAAGTTTTCTAGTTTGGCGTAGCAAAGGGGTTGTATTATTAATATATGCCAACAAACATCAACTTTATGTACTGTGTTTGTCTCTAGACTTTAGTTTTGCGTACATCAAGGGTTGTTCCATTACACGATTGATGAGAGTCAATAGGTCAACCAGAGAGAGCGTCAACGTCTAACTAATGTCGTGGTCATGGGATAGCTTCACATCTTTCTGTTTGCTTCAAGTTACTAAATAAGTCGGAGACTTGATATTTCTCGTTTACTTGCTTCAGACCATACAATGAAACATTTGTAATACGTAAATGGAATTTACGTCCTAGAAGCATGATTGTAAATTTTGTAATTCCCATTCCCTATGATCTTTTACCTAATCGATCAAAAAAAAAACAAAAAAACAACATAACTATAGTAGTTCTACTTGTTGGGCTTTTTACCAACATCACTCTGTATTATTTCATCACTATAGTATTGGAATAAAAATGTACAAACTGATGACAAAAAAAAAAAAAAAAGGTACAAATAAACAGTTTGTTTTGGTAATTGTTGTTTTATCCACACAAACTTATTACTGTACAATTACTTGAGAGACTATTATGCTCTTTTTAGTCTTTACCCAAATTACACACTTGATTAAGGGATAAAGCTAATTTGTGCCAGATCCATAAATTTAAACATTTACCCGTTTTTAATCTTATTTTTCAATTAACTACACCCATTAGGAGCAAACCCGACCCGCCCACCCGCACCATCATACACAACTTCTAGCGTTTGCTGCTGAACGTTTCCGAAGATAGCAGCGTTACTGTCATCGCTATTCCCCGCAAACGCCAAACATACCTGCGATATCTTAAACGCGTAAAAAATCCCTTTGGAGCCAAGCTCGACGACGGCGCCACCGCTGAAAGAGAACGCCACCTTGGGGATCGTCACCGTCTTAAATCCGCTGAGATCGAAACACGTGTCCAGGATCGATACGCCCGACGCGGTCGGATACTTTGACATCTGAGCCTTGAACGAGCTCCGTAACGCCGCGTAGGCTTTTGGAGGGAGACGAGTGATAACGGTTCCGGAATCGATCAAAGCTCCCGGAGTAGAGAATACGGTTGAAGGAATCGCCAGTTTCTGACCGCCGACGGTGATTCCAACGATGTTGAGACCGTAGAAGGAGTTTCCATCAGAGATGGTTGAGATCGGAGTGAATTTGACGGATCTGGAGATTCCGGCGGATCCGAAGGTAAGATGGCCGGTGTAGCTGGCGGAGGAAGGGAGGCAGTAAGAGAAGATCTTATTGTAAGCCGTTGCCGTCTGCGACGGGAATGAGAGCTTATCACGACCAAGACCGAGAAGTCCGGCGACACCGGTGAAAAGTCCTTGGTTGTTTTCCCCGCAGCCGAAATAAACGCCGTCGAATACGTCGGAGTTCGTTAGTGTAAATTTCTCCTTGGCGAGAAAGCCGACGGAGAACGATTGGTCGCCGTATTGTATACCGTAGATGCAAGTCGAAGCTGAACAGCTTCCGGCGTTTCCTAATTTTTTAAAAACCGGTTAACATAACCAGATACGGTTAAATAATAAAAGAACCGGAAATAAAGAAGTTGGAATTGAAACCTGTAGCGGAAGAGAGAGAAGTACACGCAGGGGATGAGCAGGAAACGTTGTAGTAAGAAGAAGACTTAGAAGGGTTAAAGATTGGTTCCTTTTGGCTGTAGCAAGTTCGAACACATGGCTCACATTGAGTCCACGTTAGATCGCTTCCGGTGTCGAAAATTAGTGATAGATCGTGCTTTGGTGTCCCGAGTCCGACAGTCACGATGTAGTTTCCTGAACCAAGTGTGCTTCCGTCTTTAGCTGGTAGGTCTGTTGACTGGCTTTGACCGACGTGGTTAGTTGTGAGTTTCTTTGATAGTTTTGAGTGGATTGAGTTAACGCGCGCTTGGTCGAGTTTGAGGATCTCGACATGGTCTGGTCTCGTGGCTTTGCCGTTGTTTAGAGGCGAGCACGTGCCGTGTCTGTGCGTCACGTGCAGTGATGACTTTGTCTTAGTCGCTGCAGTATGGGATGGGATAAGTTCACGTTAGAGAAATATTACCCACAGATTCCTCAAGTTATCACCAAAGCAAGATAACACGTCGATGCCTTATTATCTAATGACGTGATAAAGTTTCTTTTCAGTAATTTCAACTTTTATATATATGGAGTCAAACAGAGTCGTACTTATTATAATTAACTTAATAAATTGTTGAATTTTTTTCCTTAACTCACACTTACAAGTTACAACTACTAATCATTGTCATTTCCCAAGTTAAACAAATACTAATCATTTCTGCTATCACTTTCTTAGTCATATGATGGTAATAATATCAATTTCTTGAAAGCAAGAACTTGGCCTTTTTAACCTAATTGTGAGTAAATCTACTAACATACATTTACATAATAAGTACACCATGAACGTATATTATACATACTCTTTGCATCAACCTTATCTATAGCTAAAAGACAATTAATCAAAGGAAATTGAGTTGGATAAAACCATCACCTCTGGGAGAAAGAACACAAGGTGATGATGATGATGACGATGAAGGGAAGAGAGAGCTGACTTGGAGGATGGTATGATAGTCAATATCTTTCTTCTGGCTTTCTTGGGCTCCCTCGTTACAACCCAAATGGAGACATACACAAATGAATATTATGATATTCAACAAATTCCTTTTAATGTTCATTTTTTTTTGCTCTCTTCTCTTCTTTCTTATCTCTCTCCCTCACCAAAAAAAAATGGCACTAAAAATAACGTGATAATGGTTGGTCTTTTATAACCAATCTTTTTTGCACAAGAAAGTTTCTCTCTAGTGGAGGTTGTTAAACTTTAGAAGCAATCGAGTCATCCACATATCATATACTAGTAGGGGCACTCTCTCTATTCCACTGGTTTCACTAACCAGTTAGATAGCGACACATCATCTGGCATATGAGCATTATTGTTAATTTTCATATACTCCAATCTCTGCACAATGAACGGGATATTATTCCACTGAATGATTCATTGATTAATGAAAACTATATATAATTAGGTGTCAAATTATGCATGGATATGTCTAATACTCATTCATATTTTTCTGACAACAAAACAAATTTTTTGATAATATTCAAATATCAATTGAACAGTTTATAATCTGCAAACATATAGTTTATTCGTTAATTAAATAAAAGGAGGATTGTAATCTCCATTTGATGATATTTTCGCCCACTAATAATGGAAGAGTGGAATCATGATAAGTCTCATATTACGTACTAAGAGAATCAATAATTGAGTAACTGCAAGCAATAAGTGTTGCTTAAATATTAGAAAGTCTATATAGTGATATTGACTCAAAAGACACAAAAAATATGAAAGCAACATCGATCTTTCTTTAGGCAATGGATATAATTACGCACATCCTGTCGAGCTTAGTTATGCGTCTACATGTAAGTAACATATCATATGTTTGCATCAAATTGGAAAAATACAGTTCCTTCACGAATTCGATCTCCTTCAAAATTAAATATATTTAAGTTTAATTAGCATTTAGTAGGTTTAATAATTGTTTACATATGAACGTGTAAACACATCAACATGTTTGTATTTTTTGTCGTGAACCACACGTTTTTTCTTGCTTAAGGACAGCTTCTTTTATTAACCAAGAGATTTGCAGCCACTTAACATCAAAGAATACAACTCTCATCTCATGATTATAATGTAGACGAGAAGGACATAGATTCCTTTGCTATTCAATTAACTTTTATCTCAATAATTCGTTTATTAAGATAGATATATAATGAATTGTTCATTGGTGGGTAAAGAAAGTGTAATTAGAGTGATTGTACAGTGACCGAAGACATCCAAGTATGATTGAGAGATAACAAGTCCACAAGAACCTCATTTAATTGGATGGTGTGGACCTTCGATCGTTATACAAATGAGTACAAGTGGGAACAAAAAGATTCTTATTATAAATTAAAGAATCTAAAATGCGATGCAAGTGCGGGAAAGCTGGAATCTGTACCCTAATTTTCTAGAAGCTTAAGAAACTGACCAATCCCTAATTATTTGGGATCTTCGAAACTCTACACTCGTCCAAATTCACCTTGTACTACCCTCTTCTTTATTTCATTTTTTGTCTGTTTTGCTGTAATATCATTGACTTACTATGTATGTCTTCTAAAAGCATACAGTGCATATTTATATTACTGGTTGGTTATTTACCAAAATCCTGATCGAGACTTTACTAACTAAAGCTCCTATGTCATATGTATGATTTGACTAATCAATAATAATGTAGGTCGTTCATAAACAAAAGAATAATTTAATTTAATGTATGTCGTTGGTTCCTAATATGAATCTTTGTATAATTTAAAGGGAGTATATGTAGAATTCATTATGAATTTTTGATTATATTTTATCGAAATCCGTAGATGGTGTGGATGGATGAGATATATTTTATTCATTACTATACGACACAACACAAAACGTGATCACTTCTATAAAGAAAAATATATGAATGAGTGCTGACCTAACTATCCAAATCTCCATCTCTACCAGACATTATATTTCTGATATTCACATATACAGTCAACACAGATCAGATTTAAACATGTGTACAACTAATGCATTCAAATATGACGCCATGTATAAATTATAACGTCTCCAAAACTAAGTAACGTGTTTTCATTTTTCTTTGACAGCAAAGAGTAATTAATCATCCATTTAAGCTAATGTAAAAGGCATTTTTCTTTTCAAAACACATGTAAACTCTAAAGCAACCTCTTCATTCCATGAATCGCTTTTCTTACATGCGTTATTAAATTAATTATCCAGATAACCTTTACAATGCAAAGTAAGTGTGTTTAACGTCTATATAAATAGCTTAAAGACGAAGACACTAAAGTGTTTTTACAAAAGATTAAAAAGCAAGAACACTCGCTCGTTTATTTTTAAATTATTTCAGATCATTTGTTTTTCGTTAATTTATTTTGTTTCTGAAACCCTCGATCGTGTTTTTGTCCGTAGCGGCTATCTCAACTTCCCTCTATAATCTATATGCAAAGAGATATATGTGAACTTAGAAAGATTTAATTAATTATACGATGGAGAACATTTTGGTAGGATTGAAAAGAAAGAAAAAGACATCTTAACAAATACTAATAATTGTGGGTTTCTTGTAAACTGAATATCAATTATTGAATATGTTGTTGTTTAGCTAGAGATTAGAAAGCTGCTGATGTAGCATCGTGGGAACTCTCGTACAGTTGTCGCATTCCACTGTGGATTCTGTTTTCATCCGAGATAAGATAAGAAATTGAAATAAGATATGTTTCCACTCAAATTGTTTATATTGGGGGGTCGATGTATAATAAGGCAAAAAGGAAGTGATCAGTATCTTAATGATTTCAATCAGTTAATCTTAGGTTTGTATCAATCAATAACAATAATATTGGTTGGTCTCTAATTCTTGCGTGTGCTTAAACATCTTGTTTCAATCGGACCACCAAAGCTGATATATTAGAGTAACAACTATTTTCTTCACAAAAGTTGGAGAATAGCCAAAGTGGTGTGTTATTGTTCACGATCTTTAGCTTTGTGTTCTTTTTTAACCGATACTGATAAAAATAATTGATATATAAGCAGAAGCAGTAGTGGTAGCTCAACTAAGTTTTATCTAGAGATGCAAAAAGTATCAAAATCTTAAAAGGTTTCGTCTCATTCTCTATATTGACTAAACCGAACCTGTACCGGTTTTAGAAGCAATACAAACTGCATGGGCTAATGATAAAAGGCCCATTAAAACAATTTCCCGCGTTGCTGAAAAGCCTAACAAGAAAGGGAGATCCGGGTCAGTCAAAAAGCTCAGGATCCGACTTGAAGAAACGGGTTCGGACTCTGTGAGTGAAGATTTTTTTTAGCTTCTCTCACTTTCAAAAACAAAAAACAAATTTTAAAGCGTATGAAGATAAATCTGATCTAGGTCTCTTCTTCCCCAATCTCTCTCTCTCTCTCTCTCTCTCTCTCTCTCTCTCTCTTTCTCTTGCCTTCTCGATCGAAGAACTTAAGGCAATGGACAAAGGCAAAGCAGTGATGGGTACTGGTCGGAGATGGGCCGTCGAATTCTCCGATCAATCTACTGTTCCATCTTCCCGTGACATCCTCGATCCACCTGGCTTCTCTCGTGCTTCTCAGGAACAGGTATTGAATTCTTTAAATTTCATGTGTTTCTAGATTGGATTTGAAGTTTCAATTTGGAATTTTACCGTGAATTGAGCTGGCTCGCTGCTGAGATTTGTGTGTGTGTTTAATGGTGTTATTGTTTGGTGATTTCGTTTTCAGGATGATTCAGCAAACAGCCGTCAAAAGAAAGACGCTGAAGCTAATTGGAAACTTCAGGTATATTTATGTCAAATCTGAAAGTCGTATCTTAAATTGTACGGATTCGATCTTGGTCGTGCTCTGTGTTGATCTTTAAAGCCATTGACTTTTTATGTATTGGATTGTCATACAACTTACATAAGACCATCTGTCACTATGTAAATTGTGACTTGGTGAGATTTTCGAAAAGGAATAATTCTTCTTTTAGCTGGCCGAGATTGGGTTTGATGTGGATCAAGTTTACAAATCTGATATGTTTTTTTTTTTTATTGATGAATGAGCAGAAAGCGTGGGAAGTAGCACAATCTCCATTTAAGAATTTGATGATGATGGGTTTCATGATGTGGATGGCTGGAAACACTGTGCATCTATTTAGCATTGGCATTACATTCTCTGCTCTTTGGCAGCCTATCAGCGCCCTCCAGAGTGTTGGAAAGAGTAAGAAACACTACATTTATTCGTCTTCGCCTAAGTCACATTAGTTAGCTTTTGTCACCCCACGTCTATGTAGTTCATTGAACTGATTAGTATCTTCATTAGAAAATGAAAGCGCTAAACGAGATGTTAACTTGTTAATAGTATCCAAGGGGTCAGATTGACTTACATGATCCAGAAAAGGCCTCTTTTCTTTACTTTGGCTATTATTCTTTGAAGGAGTTGGCAACTGTCTATCATAATTATGTGGATTAAAAAGGTAGATAGACGTACTTGAAATGGGTAGTAGAATTAGGGTAGAAATATACAACACCATCCTTTGTGTGGAATAGCATGTTCGGCCTTTGTATAAGAGATAAAATGGGATCTCTAAGAGAGGAAAGAACCGCTTCTCTAGTCTTTTGGCGAAGCAATTTATCATTAGGATTTATATTATTCCCATCTTCTCTTCTCCAGGGTATTAAACATATCTCACTGTTTTGCACAGTTTGAGTTCTGATTTGGTTTGTGAATTCATCCGGACTTTTAACCTGTACCCTTGCCTGCAGTTTTTGAGCCATTCAAGGATAACAAAGTGGAGCTACTTATGCCAAAATTAGTGTTTCTTGCCCTAAACCTTGGAGGGTTAGCTTTGGGTGTCTGGAAGGTGAGAAATTATTCTCCTTTCGTCATTGTTTCCTCTTTCCATTTCCCTTATCAACACTTCCTTGTATTAGAAGTGTAAAGTACTGTATTTTCTTATACAAACAAGTTGCCTTATACCAACAATTTTCACTTTCTCAGCTTAACACTTTGGGGCTTCTTCCAACACATGCATCAGATTGGGTTTCATCTTTACCCCCACCTCAGGTTTGTGATTTCTCTCTGAAACAAGATATTGTGTCCATGTGTGTTGGGATCATCCTTGAAAGCATGAATCTGGCATTGTAATCATCTCTAAGCTGCACATCTTGTTTTGTCCTCTCTTATATCTTTTACAGGAAGTTGAACACTCAGGTGGAGGATTTGTTTTCCACTGATGAATCTGAGTCTCTTGTATTTTAAATAATCCATCCACTAGAACTGCGAGACAACGGCACTTTTGTGAAACAACTACAACAGATACTTAGCGATTTGTTCAACCGTGTCATGAGGGAAGGCTCATAAAGGACCTTCTCATCTTATGATCTTCTTGTAGTATTTTCAAAACTCAGAAACCATAGCTTTTTTTCTTCACTTTTTAGTATGATGTTCATTGTTCATCACAACTATGAATGTATTATTGGTTGGCACTGAAGGGACCTATGCCCAGCTTTTTGTTTCTCATCTTTTTAGACAGTTAATGGATAATATGTTAGACTAAAGTTTTACCCTTTATTGCATCCACTCATGATTCCTGAGTTGAGAATCAACTGTTGCCTGTTGGCAAATATAGTAAAGACTGAGAGAGCCTTCTACATGAGCTGGAGGGTTACAATGTGCACTAGTAGTACTAGGCGATAAGGAAACTAGGTCAAGTTTGGGAAGCACAAGACGTGGAACAAAGTGCAGTCTTTTAGAATCATGTAAGTCGGTCTACTCAAGAAAAATCTCTCCACGACAAAATGTTTTTACTTTTAATGATTATTAGATTCCGATAAATAAAAAGATTTACAAGACAGAAAGAAAAAAAAAAAACTAAAAAAAGAGAAATAGATATTTTTCATTAATCTTCTTATTGTTTCATTTCCATATTCCTCCGATCTTCGAGTAAAAAAAAATTGATAAAACGAACAGAGATGAATCTAAGGAACACGCTAACCTGATCCGAAATTTTTTTCCTTTTTAAAAAAAATTCTTTTGATGTTATAAATTCATACTTGGTCACTGCTTTCCTGAGATTTTTTTTTGGAAAAACTCTGATTCCATTTATTCTTTTTTTTTTTTTTTTTTTTTTTTTTTCTGTTTTCTTTTTCTTCCTCAGTTTTCATGTCCGCGAGGATTTCATTTCTGAAAAATCCCGATCCTTGCAATCACTTATCTGGTTATAAGCTTAGATATGGTACGGATGGTTACAAATCCTTTCAGAACTTGTTCAGATGCTTCAACGATGGAAGAATTAAGATCAAACTGCAAGAAATCGAGTTACCCAGATGCAGTTATTGCTCGGTTTATCAAAGGAGACTCTACATCTGTTTGATCTGTCGTTTGATTTCTTGTTCAAGTCATATCCTTTTGCATACCCAGTTGAATAAAGGCCATGATATCGCCATTGATGTTGAAAGATCTGAGCTTTATTGCTGCGCTTGCATAGATCAAGTGTATGATCCTGAGTTCGACGAGGTTGTTGTGTCTAAGCAGCTTACTGAGTTGGGTATGTCTGTTAAATCCGGGGATGATGTTGTTCCGGTTAGATCGAACAAGAAGAGGAGGTTGGACTCTCAAATGATTCTTGGATCCAAGTTTTTGGTCTCACCTCGAGATCGAAGGGAGAAATGGTCGTTTCCTTTGGGATTAAGAGGTTTGAATAATCTCGGAAGCACTTGTTTCATGAATGCTGTGTTGCAAGCACTTGTTCATGCTCCTCCTTTGAGAAACTTTTGGTTAAGTGGTCAGCATAATCATAACCTTTGTTCGAGAAGAACAATGGGTTTGCTGTGTTTGCCTTGTGATCTTGATGTCATCTTCGCTGCTATGTTTTCCGGTGATAGGACTCCATATAGTCCAGCTCATTTGCTTTACAGGTTCGATTTTTCTCGTTAGAGTTTCAAAGTGTATGTTAATGTCACATTGCTTTATATATTTGTCTAAGTTTGTTAACATGATTTGATATCTTCATAGACATTATATGATATGCTGATTTGATTATTTTTGGCGTATGAAGTTGGTGGCAGCACTCAACGAATCTGGCAACATATGAGCAGCAGGATTCTCACGAGTTTTTCATTTCGCTATTGGACCGTATCCACGAGAACGAAGGAAAGTCGAAATGTTTGTATCAAGGTAAAAAATTTGGAAGAAGAGATAATTATGTGTGGTTTATTGTTTGAAGGTCTTGATTTCTATAGATTGATGAATCTTTCAAGTAGAATTTGATTTGATGTAATTTGCTTTTGATATTGATTAGTTTGTTGGTTTACTGTGCAGATCATGAGGAGTGTCAGTGTATCACTCACAAGGCATTCTCTGGTCTTTTAAGATCTGATGTCACCTGCACAACCTGCGGATCCACATCAACAACATACGACCCATTTATCGACATTTCACTTACTTTAGATTCAGCGAACGGATTCTCTCCCGCTGATTGCAGAAAGAACACATATAATGGTTGGCCAAGCGTGAATGCAACCATGCCAACTCTCTCGGGTTGCTTAGATTTCTTCACACGGTCAGAAAAACTCGGTCCCGACCAGAAACTAAACTGCCAAAGCTGTGGAGAAAAGAGAGAATCTTCCAAACAAATGTCCATAAGAAGACTTCCTCTGCTTCTTTGCTTGCACGTAAAGCGTTTCGAACATTCCCTTACCCGTAAAACCTCAAGAAAAATTGATAGCTACTTGCAGTATCCGTTCCGCCTAAACATGTCTCCTTACCTCTCTAGTTCCATCATTGGAAAGCGGTTTGGGAACAGGATATTTGCTTTTGATGGTGACGGTGATGACAGTTCATCATCATCATCTCCATCAGCGGAATTTGAGATATTTGCGGTTGTAACTCATTCAGGGATGTTGGAATCAGGTCATTATGTGACCTACCTGAGGCTGAAAGGTTTGTGGTATAGATGTGATGATGCGTGGATCAATGAGGTTGAAGAAGAAGTGGTGAGAGGATGCGAGTGTTATATGTTGTTCTATGCACAAGAGAGAGTGATTCAAAAGGCTCATAAGGAGTTGAGTTATCAAGTTATCTCCATGGCTGATGCATTTCCCTTTGCTGATTGCTGACTCTAAAAACTTGGCCAAAGATTTTGACGCATTTTCCCTTAATACTTTTTTTTTTTTATTGATTTAAGGTTTATGCCAAATATTTCAAAGCCAAGTTTAATGATAAAATTTATTCTTCACTACGTCAGTGTCCAAGGTTACTACATCAGACTCTTTTACGTCAGCTAGAAATACGCAGACATATAAGATGTTTAAGTTACAAAAGTCATACTTATTGAGTGATTAAAGAAACATAGAATCAATCTTCTTATGCTAAGCACGTGGTTCTCAAATGGAACTTGTGCAAAAAATTATGAAAATTGGACAGTAATGCACAAAATACAAGTCGTGTTTCTTAGATATTATTCCAGACTCAAGAGCATCTTCATAGAAATCCACGTGTCCTGCAGAGACCAAACAAACAATCATCTCATCTCATGCCTCGTCTGCGCCAATCTCTATCTCGTTCTCTGTTTCTATTATGATCGTCTCTCTCATGACTTGAACTCTTTGCTCTTCGTTCTCGGTCCTTGCCCAAATCATGTTGTTGCCTGTCTCTGTCTCTGCCTTTGGTCCAAGTCATGATCTTTGACCCTTTCTCTGGTTGATGATCTGTGTGGCGGACTTTGGCTTCGATTCTGGCTCTCACCTTCGGTATCTCTTTCTAGATGAATCTTTAATTACTTCACGCTTCTCCCTTTTTTCTAGTAATACTCTCTCTGCAGTTAATAAAAGCATTGTTCATCTCGTTTGTAAACAAACAAAAGATGTAGCAAGAGGCCTAAACTACCCCACAAGCTTTTATTATGGATGTGGAACAATTGTCTCCAATGTTTTCATCCAGAAGATAGTAATTTTTGAGCGTGTTAGTAAGAACTTACGATATTCTGATAAGACATCAGCTTCAAGCCTCTTTCGGTGGATTGCAACTTTTCTTTCTATCTACTCAGAGTTTTCCATCCCCTGTTCCTCAAGAGATTCTCGATACTCTATCAACGCAACATCTATCTACCTAAGCTTTTGTCTGCAGCGATAAAAGAAAAAGTAAAAGTAAGGCAACATATCATAATGGAGTAGCTACTACATTTTTCTGATCAATTGGAAAGGCTTTTGCTTTTTCTAGATGAAAATTCCAAAAGCCAGAAATCCACCTACTGGTCCTGCCACGGTTTTTATTGGTTTTGAAGCTCTAGCATCAACATGAAGGATAGAGCTGATATTTTGGTGTATTTTACTCCATAGTTTTCCCATTTACCTTCTTAATTATTAATGCTGAGGATCAGAGTATTAAGTATATCATGCAGATCATACCTTTGCTTCTCGTCGGTTTCATTTTCAGGCTGGATATGAACACCTGAATCATCCTTGAGATCCTCTTCATCGGTCTTGAAAGTTATTCTACCAGTATTGTCCCTACCAGAGGAGTAGCGCTTTTTTTGTTCCTCATCAGTTTCATCATCCTCTCTCGCCCATCTGGAAGTTGGCAATACGAGGTCATTTTTCTCCTTTTTCGCAAAGGCTTTTAGCTTTGGCTGTGACATCTGTATTGTCGAGGTCAGATTCACAGGCTCTTTAATTTCAACTTTTTCATAGCTGGTTTTCATTCGCCCAGGCTCAATGTTAACTTCTTCCCAACTTGAATGTCCCTGTCGATTCTTTCCATTTTCATCTATTACTTCGGAGCCACGTGGTTTCTCTACATCTTCCAGGCTTAGCAGCCGAGAAACCATCATATCTCTACCCCCTACAAGTGACAGACCATTATGTCTGCAGCGTCTCTCAAGCTCAGAAATCGGTAGAGTCATCAGCTCTTGCCCAGCAGCTCCCTCGCCCATTGCCAGTGCAGCGTCTTGATTGCTCTCATCAGCATAGTTCATTTTAACCATGAGACCTTTCTTCTCTATATAAGGCGCATCACCGCAGATAGAATGAAACGAGGTAACACCAGAGTTTCCCGACCGGAGAAACGTGGCTCGTAGCCCATTTATATATGCATCTGAGAAGAGAAACCGGTCTGCCCATACCTGCAGTACTTTGAGTACTCGTTCCTGCACAAAGTAAGAATGAGATTGCAACAGAACTTGAAAAAGTGAATAACAACATAAGAACATTTTCTTTCTGGGATTACTTTAAGAGCCTCCGCAGTAATCCTTCCAGTTACATTGCAGTACAGATCGTTGAAGCTTTCCATTATATCGGGTAATGTTGCTTCGAATTTTGTCCGGTATGCAGAGGCATTTTTAATACGAGCGCTGCTATTATGAAGAATATCAGACACAAGCATGAGTCTTGCAACCTTAGTTGGCATTGATGTCTCTTTCAGGGTCAAAGACGCTGTCAGAACTTCAACAACCTGTGAAACAAGTAATATTTCATATAAAATCTGGAGATTTTGGTCCAAAGATATGTAATTTAAAATCATGACATAACGAGTTATTTTGCTTAGAAGCTCTGGGGACTATGGTGTATATAATCCATTACATATCTTACTACCACATGCAAGTGAGACAATTGATGGATGATTATAAGAAACATATCTCTTCTGAAAGAGTAAAACAGAGGGTGTCTGTTATCCAATGTAAGCCAGAACAAATTTTACCTCTCCAGCTGCATCGGCGTTATCCAAAGCAAACCCCATAGCTTCCTTGATTTGACTCCTTTCTAAAGTTAGAGCGCGCAACATGTCCTCAAATTCATCCCTTTGAGGATCAGTTAGAGTTTGCTTGCCATCTGCGCGCTGTTATGTACTAGAGTTAAGGTATCAGTCAACCAACTTCTCAAAAAAGAAGAAGTAAGATTTGAAATCTGAGTTTGCAAGGAGGATTACCCTGCTTTTCCCTGCTACATAAGTGCATGTAGACTCTTTTTCATGCTCTGGGCTCCTAGGTGCAGGCAGCGGTGGCGGAATCCATCTGTAATAAAAGAAAACAAACAGTGTTGATGCAAAGTAGCTAAGATAAACACAATCCAGCACCTGAAATCAGTTTCAAAGATGGCTAGGTTAAATACCTTCCACTTCCGGCTATCATGATGTACGGCTCTGTTCTCCATCTTTGAAGGGTATCACCCTAAATGACGGCAAGAAAAAATCATCAGGGTATGACAAAATAGGAAGAGAACCTCATATATTCCTAATAATGAAATAATTAAAATGTACCTGAGCAAAGGAATAGAGTCTCCAGACATAGTAGGTATGTTCCTTAGAGCCCAGGTCAAACAAGAAGTTAAAAAGTGGATTCCCACGCCCCCTCTCCATAATAGATTGTTCAAAAGCGCATCCACCGTCCAGTACATTAAGGGCCATTGTATCAATAATATGTTTGAGGTGCTCGTCCTCAGGAGAAACAACAGTGATATCCGGCACATTTGGGTTAAGAACCTGAAGATGAAATTCAACTTAAAAAAAGTGTTAGTGCTAAAGATCCAGACTTTAATATAGATGATGAAGGATAAAATTTACCCAGTATCCATTAACTCCAGCACTTGTCAAATATAATATGGAACTTAAGAAAAACAAATTACGCCATATGGACAACTAGCACACATACCAGCTCAGAATTTTGATTTGGAGCAGAAGTTATTGGTGGACCCGATATTCCCGAAACAATTAAATTGCAGCCCTGCCAATTAAAACATATGAAAACTTTTACAATTGCATATAAACAAAAGCAGCAGACAGTCATGATCAAATGCAGCGACGTAACAGTCACATTCAGGGATTAAGATTTAATTCGCTAATGATACAATTAAATGCAAATGAATCTCAAAGGGGCACATAACTGCCACAGACCTCCTTACTCCGGTTTGCCATATGTCTAGGAGGTGGAGCTGGTAGTGATTGTGATGGCAGAGAAACCGCTTTACCCCATCCAACTTCAGCTCATAGTCATAAACAATGATCCCTGTGAAATAGGGAAAAAGGATTTGTAAGTGTCTTGCATATCAGCACAACACATGCATCAAGGAAGCACATTTATTATCCAAATCAATAGTCAAAGATTAATAAATTTATATCTTGTTAGGAGGTCAGTAGTTTTCAGCATTGTATAAATGAAGAAAGAAAAAATGGAAGTACCGAATAAAAGCAGTAGCACTGACTAAGTGAACTCCCTACGTATGTCTTTAACTGATCACGTTAACTATGTACGTTTTTAAGAGAAAAGGCAGTCTTCCACTAAAGTTTTGGTTAAGTGCTAATGCTATGCAGGAACCTGATAAAACAAAATCTAGAACAAATCTTCATCTTTTGCTCTGTTACCATATTGTACACCACCAACATATTCCAGTTAAAATCCCACATAATTCCATATAGAATGGTATAGCTAACCTTGCATTTCATCCTTTGCAGCTTGCCCATCGGATCTATTCATGAAAGCAACAAGGCCACAACGTCTTTGTCAATTTTCTCTTCTTCCGTTCTTGGCCACATAATTTTAACAGGTTAAAATCTTCCAAAAGTCCGCAAGAGACTCTTCTCTACCACAACAGCACAGACATTGATTGCAACTCCGAAAGCCATACGCTATGTGGAGATGACAGAAGTTTATGATACTTCAAACATTAGAAACACAAGATAAATGCACACCAAAGCTGTATTACAATGATCAACAAAACATCGTCAAACTCTTTGCTTATGACGCCTACACTAGAAATGACATATTAATCAAAAGCAATCCAGTTTTACCTACTCCCCTTCTTTGAAATGGAAGCCCCATCTCTGGACTTTTCACCTGCGAATGCATAGAAAAACCAAAGTCCATGTTTTTAATTAACATGTTTCTCAACTTGATAGAAACATTAGTATACCAAATCTACATCATCTAAAAATTCAATGAAACACAGAAAGAAGCCTTCAGTTCTAGTTAAGTGAAGGAAGCTATGGCGTTTCCAAGAGACTAACCTTGAGAGTCAGGCTTGGGCTTATCATTAGGATTGATTGTACCACCTCCAACGAAAGCCTTAGCTGCACTATCTCCTTGAAACGATTTCACGAACTCCTGATACAGCTCTGCATTTACAGCGAAAAATCCCTCATTCTCAACATCAAAATCCCAGAGAAAAAAAAAAACGGAATGATTGAATTTCTTTCTTTCCTAAGTTCCAATAGCCCCTATTGAGGATTCAGATAGCTAAGAGAAGAAGAAACAAACCATTTTGGTGGCTTCTTCTTCTTCTCTGTGTTTCTGGGACGGCGTTTTTTTTTTTCCGGCTGATCGAGAAGGTACTCATTCTCGCAGCATCCAATTTACCTCGAATCGAAAATATGCCACTAGGTGACGATAATATGTTATCATTTAAGGTTCTGGGGATCGAGGATGGATGAAGGCGATCTATCTCCAAGCTAAAATCAGTAGACGTCTTAGACTCTCTCTCTCTCTCTCTCGGTTAATAGATTAACACAAAATTTGTATATCTATTTCCCTTCTTTTACTAAGTTAACCATATTTATTCTTCCACTAGGTTACTGCATCAGTGTTTACAATAGTCTCTTATTTCAGTTTCAGCTATATGAAAGTAAGGAATATGAAACTTGAGGTGCAGGCAGGTTTGGATAGTAATTAGGATTAGGAATGAACTTCGAATTTGGACAAGAAAGATACTTCATGTTTAACAAATCCAAAAGACCACAACACCATTACTCTTTATATGCATCTAATTATTGTTACATTACATTGCCAAATATATAATAACGAGAGATGGTGCTTTTGAATGGGTCTCTCTTAATAAGCTTTATATGTTCTTCACATGTTTCTTCTTCATCTGCCTCCATTGGCAAGTCTCTTGAGATGGTTAAACGCCTTCTGCTTAATCCATTGCCTGTCATACGGCAGATACGCACTCAGCGAGTGTTCATAGCTGCAAAAGGGAAAAAGGTCACAAATATTCACCATACCATTTAAGAGAATCATTACTTGTTTACAACATTGACAAAAAAACCTTACACTAATTTTAGAACCAGTTTTTATGCTAACCATGACACTCAGCATGTTTCTTAACTCTTTTAGCAAACACCAGAGGTTGCAACAAAGCAAAAGATCAACCATAGTACATGAGTCTCCCAACAATCTCTATTATACACATTACTTGCAAGATAATTTCTATAACAATCCTATATGTTTTTAACGACTATCAGTCAAAACATTATGATGGATTCAAAAGAATGATATGAGTGGAATGTTGGTAGAAACACAACACAAATAGATGGGGCAATGTCGTTCCTGCTATAAGTTTATGTAAATGTGAACAGGTGATGCGAATTTGACAGTGCCCTGGTAGGAACTAAAAACATTTAAGAGAAGAGAAAAGGGAAACAAGACTTACACCAACGCGCTCAAGTCAGCAAGACCGTCAATAAAATTGTAGAGGTCAGCAATGTCATAGCTAAGATTTCTGAGAGACGGGTTAATCTCCTTCAGCTTCCTTTCATATAAGCCGCAAATACCTGTTTCGAACAAAACAGTTCAGCATATGAGGAAAAGATCAGGGCCACATTCACAAATTTATAGCTAAAACATTTTTGCTGCTATAAAACCAATATAAGCTTCCCTAATTTACTTTACACTTAGAAAGGCCAAAGGTAATAAACTAATGACACCTATCTTTCTTCTTCATGCTACTTCCTTCACTTTACTGAGTAAACAAGTTAGTAATCAAAATACGAACCGAGGAACTAGTAATACAATATACCAATACCATTAGAGTATCGAACAAAGGTCATTCCATTGGCTCATAGCAGTATTTCTAATATCTGAACCTCCTAGCAAGTCACTGAAACAGCTACATAATTCTATCATCACAAGGCGTAATTAAAAATCATCCATGTCGTTACCACAAAGATCCAGCTTAATCATAACTGAAGTCAACAATGAGTAACTAACTATAGCTGTACACTAATTACAGAACGGTGATTCGAAATTAATAGTTACCATCCATAGCTTGGCCTACAGAGTCATAGTCCATGAAAGTCCTGGTAGCTCTGTTGGGAGAATTTTGCAATAAGATGATTGTGTGCCTACTGTTATGATTATTAGCCTACACAACAAAGAAAAGACAGCTGAGCTTAATCAGCTTATAAGAAAAGAAAAAAAACTGAAAGATCAAAACAAGTTCAGAAAATTTCACTCTTTTTCGTAAAGGAACAAGAAATCATCAGACTCTGAGAGTCAAACGGACTAATGAACGATATTGGAAAACCTAGTTTCTGTGGAAACACCGATCTAATCAAAAGGCTTTGCCCAGATTCATACGCGATTGACTAAGACATCACTAAAACTACACAAATGGAACGTTTGTTTATTAAGAAAAGAGATTGATTACCATCTTCAAGTGATATTTTGACTCCGACAGCAGAGTTGAGGGGGTTTAGACGACGAAGACGAAGACAACGACGAACGAAACAAGTTTTTCACTTCTTCAGAGAGGAAAGCTAAAATTAAAGGGACTCCAAGAAGAATCTGTAGGGGCAAAAGGGTAATATTATAGAGATTTTATGACTCTTTAACATGTGACATTCGATAATGGGATGAAACACCGCGTATTCCATCAAATATTTAATAAAAACTACATGATGTTTCTAGTGGTTAGCTGCGTTTGCTATAAATCCAAACAACGCGCATTCTCTTCCAAATATGATGAAACGGCATGTTGTTCTCATCTATGCTATACAATGTAAAATCCTCTGTTTTAGTTTTCTCCTTCACAAAAGCAAAAGTTTGATATCATCATCTTCTGATTCGTTTTTTGGCAGCACATCAGACGGCACAAGATCATCCAAATGATCGGAATCTGGAACGAGGAAAACGAAACACACGGTAACGAGCCTCAAGATATTCCTTATAAGAATCACGAGCCAGAGATTCCCAAACTCATGTCGCGTGACACCAAAAGCGTGAAGAACAAACCCTCCACTCCATTTAGATGCAAGCTGTCCAAAACTATCAATGCACATGAGGAAAGCAAAGAAGGTGCCTTCGATTCCCAGAGGACAAAGCCTTGTGCTGAGAACCACCATGGGGATCCACCTGATCTTACTTATCATCCTCGAGAAAGATTCTTCGGTTATCACAAAAAAGGAATCTGGTATCCCTAGTGTTAAGTTCCAGCGTTTGATGAACATGAGATCAAGCATTCCTGAGAAGAAGTATACAAGTTGTGCGAAGAAGAGTATGTTCCTAAAGGAATAGCCTTTGAGCTTCTTGTGGTATATAAGAACTCCAAATATTGATGCCAATGCCCCGATCGCGTAGATTATTCCCACAAACTCCTGCATTTATAGACCAAAATAAGCAAGTTTGAATTAAGCTCATAATTGCATATTTGGATGAAGAATCTTATTAGCTTATTCAGAAACTCCACAGCTTTATATGTCTTATGTGGAGGTAGCATACCATCATGATATCAACACCATTTCATTAAGCATACTCATCTCCAAAAACCCAAAGACAGGATTTTCCTAGGAAAGATCGGCATTCAAGAGAAGTGACTCTATGGTTTTTTTACTATAAGCCAGTAAAATAGCCTCAAATGTGATCCATATAATATCATTCATTACATACCACCATAGTGTCTCGAGAGAGCGATCAATAGGAACCTCTTTTTTCTAACTTCTCAAGATCTTTTTTACTTACTATACTAGTTCCTAGAACTTATTTGATATCAAGTCCAAATTATTTATCCAGTAATCTTTACCCTCTAAATCATCCTTAATAAAAGAGGAATTCTTCAGGTTTGTCTTATGAATATTTTAGCCTTGGCCAATGTGGGATTGAAGAACCAACCTGGGAAAAGGCGGGCCCAGCTGTAGGATCAGTGTACCAGTAGAAGTGGCCTTCATGAGTGCTGATGTTGAGAGCTAACGATATGAACATGTAAAGAGATGGCTTCCATACTTCAGGGTACTTTATTGTTTTATACATTCCCTTCACCGCTACTCCTAAGCCATCTGTGTCCTGAAGAACATTCAAACGATTTCCATCAAGATTCAAAGTCATGAAATGTCGTTGCAGAAATTTTCAAATTACTCCAGCGGAAAAAAGAAAAGGCAGAATTCTGTTTGAATGATTCTGCTACGACCCAATGCTTATGATTTGCGAGAGAGACCAAAGGAGTTGACATTACAATTTGTCTCACCTTCTTGTTTTTCTGTATAGGAACAGTGGAAGATTTTTTCTCGTAGATGAAAAACCCGAGTAGGACAATAGTTGCAGGCGAAAATGCTAATACCCCTAATGCTCCCTTTATCACAAAGAACAGAAATCTCTTAGGAGAGCAGAATATAAAAAAGCCAGATTTCAAGATTATATATCTGAAGGGAATATGTCAATGAAACGAGTATATCAGGAGCCAAAGATTAGAAGGGTCAACCTGAGGTCCAAGCCGGTGAACAAAGACTCCACTAGTTGCGTACCCAACCAAAGCGCCAGCAGATGAACAAACCATGCATAGGCTCTGTATATCAGGAGCCAACGATCGGATATTGATACTGTTTGTTGCTATACACGCATCAATCACTACATCTGCAATGGCCATAGCTGCAGAGACACCTAAGAGGCAGCTCAAAGCCAAAGCAGCGGGCAACTTACCAAGAACAACAACTGCAATCGCAGATACCAAACCAAGAACACCAGAAACTACAAAATAAGGCTTTCTTTTGTAACCTTTGATCGGGAAAACATCGGTGAAGAGACCCCAAATGGGTCTCATGACCCATGGAATGTAATATAACCCCATGTAAAGCTGCACAACCGATGGCTGTACTTGCTGGACATCTTTCCAGTAATAGTCTGTGACAACTTTGAATATCGAACCGGAGAACCCTTGGTTTACACCGTACACAAGGACCACACCTAGAACAAAGCTCAGGTTTAGCCTAGAACACAGCATTTGTAGCCATTGGTAGGGCTGAAGCAGAACTGAGACGACACCGGAATGATCTGAAATTGGTTTTAGCAGAGGTTTTCCGTCTGAGAATAATTTCTCAGTTTCTAGTGTTTCCATGGTGTTTACTGTTTAGGAGATGAACATTGGATCTGAAAATATTGAAAGCAAGAGCCTTTAATCGTTATTTTCAATGTAAAAGAAAGAGGATTCCTTAGACTTTCAAAAAAGCATTATACATTCACACACGAGGATAAAACAATAAATGAATAATAAAAAGTAACCCCCACTTGACATATACCTTGTTGACTCTGTAAGCAATGACGTATTTCTTCAACTGCCAGTCTGAAATTCTACAAAACCTGAACCAAATCGCCTTATGAGCCAAAGGATCACAAACAGATGAACAATAAAACATGATCATATGATTGATGAATATTATAAATTTCATCGTTCCATCGGAGCTAAAAATCCTAATCAACACCAACGAACAACTACACACAATTACATTAAAATCCAATAAAATAGATAAAGGAAAGCTAAGTGTGTCAGCTTCTTTGAAGGTCAGTGTCATTGAGATTCCCACAAGCCAGAAAGACTACTATATATGACTAAGTGAGCCATGGTTAGAAACTAATAAATCAGTCAAAAGAAGAGGAAAAACAAAAAAAAAAAGCAGAGAAAATGGCAGGATTGTTTGATAAACAAGCCGATCTATACCTAGAAGCAAGACCTAATTACCCCTCCGAGTGGTTCTCGAAGCTCGCTGATCTTACCGATCACCACGGTTTAGCCTGGGATGCCGCCACCGGAAACGGCCAAGCCGCTCTCGCCGTAAGTATTTTTGATGCTCAGGAGCTTAGCATCATTGAATCTCTTAGTTTAACAGATTTAGCCTCTTGCGTGTAAAGGATAGCTACAACATGCATCAGATCTTGTTTTTAACAAGTTTCGCTTGGATTTTGCAGGTTGCAGAGCACTACGAGAGAGTCATAGCGACGGACGTGAGCGAGTCACAGCTGAAGCTGGCAACGCCGCATCCGAGGATCAATTATCGGCATACGCCACAGTCGATGACCGATGACGAGCTAGTGGAACTAATCGGAGGAGAGAACTCGGTGGATCTAATCACGGTCGCTCAAGGCGTACACTGGTTCGACCTCCCTAGATTCTACGCAGTCGCAACGCGCCTCCTCCGCAAGCCCGGGGGAATCATCGCCGTCTGGGGATACAACGACGTCATAGTGAATCCAGAGTTCGACCCCATCCAGTATCGCTTCCACGCCACAACGTTACCGTTTTGGAAGTATCCGTACATTCAGCACGTCTTTGATGCGTACGAAGCATTGCCTTTTCCTTTCGAAAGTGTGGGGATGGGATCGGAAGGGAAGCCATTAAAGCTGGAGATGCCTAAGACGACGTCGTTTGAAGGGATCATGAGGATGTTCAATTCATGGTCGGCTATAGTCACGGCGAGAGAGAAAGGAATCGAGTTGTTACCGGAGAGCTTGGTGCAAGAGCTTGAGAAAGCATGGGGTGGATCTGATCTGATTCGTCCCGTCGTTTACAAAGCTTTCATGATCTCAGGAAAAGTTAGAGTTTGATCATCATAACTCTAATCATATAAATTGTTGTTTTCATTTGAGTTTATAATTATTTTGAAAATTGCTCATTGCAAAAATTCTCAAAGTGTTGTTATTGGGCAAATCAAACAAGATACACTATTATAACGTTTACATATATTAGAATCCTTTTGTTGTTCTGCAACAAAATAGAACCTAAAATGCAACAAAACCGTTTAAAAAAAGAAAAAGAAGATAAAACTACATAATCACCATAATGAGAGAGAAAAAGATCGCCATAATGATCATATCATTATCCTCTAATCAATCTTAACAGAAGAATAGATGAGCCTTGTGAACCAGAGACAAGCATAGAAACCAATTGTTCCCGTGAGCACAAAAAATGCATAAGACGCGATGAGCATGTACCCAAAGTAAAGCATAGCCGACACCAGTTTGGTGATCTGAAGCTTTGTGAAGAAGTAGAACGTTGCGTAGAGGAAGAGGTAGAGAGCTGAGGAACCTGACGTCAGGTAAGATCTCCACCACCAAAGGTAGTCCTCACTGCAAAGCTGGAAGTAACAGAGTACTATGGTTATCTCGGCGCAAGTCACGATGAGGATTACAAAGACGAGGAAGAGGAACCCGAAGATGTAGTAGAATTGGTTGAGCCAGATGGATGTGAGGATGAAGAAAAGCTCGATGAACACTGCCCCAAATGGTAGGATTCCTCCAATCAAGATTGAGAAAACCGGGTTCATGTACCAAGCTTGCTCTGGGATTTGCCTCGGGATTTTGTTGGTCTTCACTGGGTCATCAATAGCTGGCTTCTTAAACCCAATGTAACCGCCAACAAAGACAAGAGGAACCGAGATGCCAAACCAGAGAAAGATCAAGGCGAACATTGTCCCAAAGGGCACAGCCCCAGATGACTTCTGCCCCCAGATAAGAGCGTTTAGGACAAAGAAGATTGCTGAGACGACTGCAGGGAACAAGAAGGCTGTTCTGAAGGCGATTCTTTTCCACTCTGTTCCTTTGAACATTTTGTAGAGACGTGAAGAAGCATACCCAGCAAAGAGTCCCATGAAGACCCAGAGCAAGAGCATTGCAGTCATCAGACCACCTCGATTGGAAGGGGAGAGAAATCCGAGCATGGCGAAGATCATTGTGACAAGCACCATGCCTAAACATTGGACCCCAGTACCAACGTAGACACAGAGCAGATCTGAATTTGTTGGAAGCCTGAATACATCACCATGTACGAGCTTCCATCCTGTCTCTTCTTGAGCTTCTTCTTGAGTCTCTAGCTCGTTGTATCGTGAAATATCACGGTAAAGAGTCCTCAGCATTATCATCGCCACCATACCAGACAGGAATAGAACAATCATCAGCGAATTGACGATAGAGAACCAATGAATTTGGTTATCACTCATCAGAAGATAAGCATCCCATCTAGACGCCCACTTCACTTCACTTTCCTGAAATAGCAGCAGGAAATTATAAAAAAAGATTGAGTAACGGAACCCATGACATTTTTTTAGAGACACAACCCACAGAGTACTTAAAAAAGAGCTTGCCTGGAAATCGACATCATATGTGAAGATAATCTCCTTCTTTTGTTCAACTTCTTGAGGGGTAGCCGAGCTAACAACCAGGCGTTTCGTGTGAGGATCACAGGTCGTGAGACGGGTCTTCTCACTCCACTCTCCCTCGTACTCGTGCTTCACACTTTATATTAAGGGAAGGAAAATCAGCACTGAAAGACAGGGATCCCAAGAGACGTTCAAATTATGAATAAGAATTGCACCTGTAAGGTTTGACCTCAAATCCTACGATTCTTGCAGCATCAGTTTGCACATCTCTGTGATAGCGGACTGTAAATGCCAAGTGATTATGCATAAAGAACTTCTGCTCTTTGCTCTGCGTATGCAAAAGGAACCTTAGAAAATTGAGTAATTTTAGCACGAGTTCCATTAAGTGCCAAAAATCCAAACTTACTCACCCCCTCGTACTGGCCTTTAAGACCAACATGATAACCGAGCTGATAGACAATAGAGGGAGAACCCTGGTCAACTCTTTCAATTGGAACCACTAGAGGAAGGTTGTCGAGGATCCTACACACACAAGAAAGACTTGTTAAAAAACTGATAGAGGAAAGTATGTTTTGCATACAAATAATCAAAGAAAAGTTTCTATATTTGGTCTTACATGTTGACTCGGTACTCATCATCGATCTTTTCTTTAAAAGCTTTGGCTGTCTTTGCATCAAGAGTGACCCGGCAGAGAATATTGCACATTTGTGCTTCCCGCATTTTAAACTGCAATATTTTCAACTCCGAAAGTGTTAAGAGTTAATAGACATAGAATTAAGACAGCCTGATTATGTATTTAAAAAATGCCAGAGAGACTAACCGAATATGGAGCATTTTCTATGCGGTCACCCCGAAGCACTTCGCCAAGATTCTCAGTACTGTCCACTATCTTTTTAGGTTGACAGAAAGGAAGGGAGTAGTACGAGTATGGAAGCTGAGTCTTTATGGAAGTTAATTTATTCACTTTCACCTTCAGCTCATCACCCTACATAGCATACAAGGAAAGAAAATAAAATAAGACTCGTATTTGAATATGAAATCATCATTTCTGCTCAATCATTTGACATATATTATCAAGCTTTTTTAGTAAAACCATGTAAGTATACTTTGACTGAGATCCGTAATATAACATGCATAACCGACACTGCACTTGTACCCATAACTTGGATTTAGTAGTAATGCCAAGCGAATCATGAGCGAGTAAGTACGAGATCACTAAGAAACTAACAAAATCAATCAAAATTAAAACGAATATGGCTAATCCTGCAGAACAAATATCCATGTAGCTCGCCTAAGTAGCGACATTGTTCAGATCGAGAGATTTTTGAAGCATAAATGAAGTGAAATTATAGCCTCAGCCGAAACTAATAAATAACCCATTCACTGAGATTACATGCTTAAACCAAAGTCGGTGCATCAGCACCCACCGAATCTCACTTTCTCTCTGATCAAGTGCGAGTTAATCCTAACGGAAACTGAAACACGAGATCCAGGAGATCCAATTCAGATCTAGAAGCCTAGAAGAACATATTCAAACGTTTTTTACCTTCTCGAAATCCTGAGGAGCAACACCTGGGAGATAAAAAGAGTAAGCGCCATGGATGAAGAGCAGAAGAATCAAGGCAACCGCGGATCCAGGTATTCTGCTACTGCTCCTCCTTAACTCCATAGCCATGACTGTTCCACAAAAGGAAGAAATAACCAGATCTGAAGCTACGCTACAGTTGTATATGACTCTTATACGCTTCGAGACTCGAGACCATGACCCGCCTGTAAATTGTAATGTAATCAGACATCCCGGTTTAATTTCTGGTTCGGCACGTTTACTCTTTGATCCTTATTAACCAGTAATAATTCGCCACGTCACCACGCAGAAGTCTTTCTACGAGCTGTAAGACTATAGCCAATGGGCCTAACTCTATAAAGCCCACCTTTATCATAAACGAAGATTAAACTCTATCCTAAACCATGATTAACCAAACAAAACTTAGGAATCTCGTTTGTACCAACAAGTTCTGCATATAATAATATCTTTCAAGAATTTCACATAATTATTACGTAAAAATTTCGTACGGTTTATACTTTTTAGTTATCCAACTGATTGTGTTAAAATGTGGTTTAGAGAGTATTATTTACCCGAATAATATGTAGTTTACTCGCATGAAGATTTGAAGATCAAAATAGGAGGTTTCAGATTTTTAATCGATTATGATTATTAGAAAATCTATCAACTTATATAGTTGACTTGATTTATGTTTGTATTTAATGAAGGATTCTAAACTACAACTGAAAGTAGTTCTCACACTATTAATTCATAACACAAACTAACAAAAACAAACATTAAAAATTTCGTAACGAGATCAGAGTCTTTGGTTTTATTATCTTGCAGAGCAAGCGCAAGAAGAGAAGGCGAGGCACTAGGCCTTAGTTTTGACAAGTTAAACAACGAAACAACAAACAGAACACAACAACAGGACAGCATATATACACTGATCTAAAAGCTTTTCAGATTCAGGAGCAGCACGAGACCAGAAACAAACGGTAACTCTTGTCTTACCAATCTTCAAGATCTAGTAACCTCCCTGAATAAACGCATTGAGACGTTGAAGCTCCTCTCGATGCTCACTCACCACTGCTCGGACCACATCTCCAATGGACACCATTCCGATCATGCCCTTGTCTTGGATTACCGGAATATGCCTGATTCGGTTATCTGTACATGGCAAGGCCACGAAACCGTATAATGTTTACTTGCCTGAGTAGGTTTTAAACCCAAGAGTTTGTATCAAAGTATAAGTTTTCTGCTTACCTGTCATCAGCTGCATAGCCCGCAAGACCTTGGTCTCCGGTGTCACAGTGATAAGCTTATTCTGCAATAGCCCGTTCACAGATTCAGTCAATTTTAATCCAAAGAAATAAGAAAAAAATCACAGAATCGTGCATTTCCATACCTCTTCAGTCATAATGTCTCCAACTTTTGTTGATTTGGATGATCTTCCTTGCACAATGATCTTCCGTAGGTAATCTGAATAAAATCGCAATGTCGAAAAATCAGATCACACATATCGAAAGACTCCGAAAAAACTTTGCTTGTTGGTCAGATTAAATATTTTACCTCTCTCAGTAATGATACCAGCAAGAGCTTGTTGCTCACCAGGTTTCACAACCACCAAGGCACCAACATTGTGTTGTGTCATCTAAACAAAGCAAACACACCGATTCCAAATTAACACAATCACACATCAACATATATGAGTATCTAAAAGGGCAAAGGAGAGTAGCATACGGATTTAACAGCATCGTAAACAGTGTCATCAGTAGTACACCAAAGCCAAGATCCATCAGCACTTTTGCCTTTGGCTTTCATGACGTCAGAAATGGTGGTACTCTCGAATCCAGTCTCCTCCATACGAGCAGGTTGAGTTGATTCATAGCGGGAACCAAACACAGAAGGCTGAATCGCCGGGTTAATCACACGGAGATGTTGCAGCACAGACGATTTGACAACATTTCCACCTGAGACAAAGGATCGAATCACAGCTTGCATCTTTCACCTGTCGCAATCAAATCAGTTACTGAAAACGAGATCTACAAAAGGGAAGCAATCACAATCATCTGATAGCAAAAGTCAATAGCTCGAAGACCTAATCTAATGGAACTAGATCGAAAAGAGAATGATCTCAAAGTGAATGTATTTGATCGACAAATACAAAAGTAGTAAAAAGTTTCCTAAATCTGACTGTGTATATACTATAGCTTCAGAGAAAGCGAAGAAGGAGAGATAGATGGATTCATACCTGAGCTGAGAGAAGGGAGAAGAGATCGTAGTGAAGCTTGGAGAACCCTAGAGTATGAGGAAGAGACAGCTGACCAAGAGAGAGTTGAGTGGAGAGTTTGAAGGGTTTCTAATGGAAATGGATAATCATCAAATATATAAATAACCAATTTTCGATAGCGAAGTACTGGCGACTTTTTTCTTTTCCTTAAAATATCTTAAACAAATGAGGACTGTTCATTCAATTATTCTATCATATCCTGACAAACATCACAAGGCCCACTTATTAACTTCAATCCAAGGCCCATTTTAACAGGGCCAGATTTGGATACAAGTGCAAATAATTTTACTTAACTCCCTTGTTCTTTTTTACTGTTTTACAATGGCTTCATGATCATGTGTACAAATATTGCTTTTTCAGGTCTCAAATTCAATCGAGACGACGTAGGAGATACTCAACCTCCACAAACTTGGTGAGAGGGATAAGCCATTCTCCATAGATGCGGGAGACGAGGAATGGATCCACTTTATACTTCTTCTCACTCCCGTCACCAGAGTCAGAGATGCACTTTACTTCTTGTCCAAACGTTTCTGCTTTCTTCTGGACTCTCTTTTTAACCATTTCTTCTACTTTCTCAAACGTCAAAAGCTTCATCAAAGCCTCTCTATCCTAAAACCAAAACGCTTATGCTGTGATCATTTCTCATAATACAACAGTGAAGCCGGATCCACATTGTGACACTAAAACTTACCTTGGCGCGAATTGCAGGCTCGTAATCTTGAGGAGCATCTCTGAATTTGACCTCAGCTACAAATTTACCGTAATGAATCCTTCTTGAAAGAGCCTTCAAAAGATCAAACTTCGAATCAGACATAAATTAAACCACACGTAGAACTGATTATATCTGCGAATTTTCAATGGTTTCCTTACTTGTAAACAGGCGAGATCACTAGCAGCAGTTGATGGATAGTTGCCATCATCGCCTGGCTTGACGAACAAAGGAAGCAGTTCTTTAAAGTAAACATCCCAAATTTGTTTGTTTATGTTAACGGATAAAGCCTTAGGATGCAAAGCCTACACAAGAGAGAGAGAGAAATAAAAAGTATTGTTAGAGTAAAGCATTCAAAGTTGTAAGGAAAATGCTTGTAGAATTGACTACGTACCGTTGGATATTTGTGCGTAGGAAAAACCGAATGAGGAATGTTGTCAAGGAAGAAAGGATTCTCTTCCGGGTTTTCATATCTTCCTACCTATACATACACACATACATCAAAGAACTTCTAAGTGAACTAATCAACAAACATAATATGATCGTATCCAGAAATCTAGATGATAAACTAATGAGATGAATCTACCATCGAGAAAGACAAAACGAAAACAATCCCTTGTTGCCAATCTCCACATATAAATAGTGAGTTTGTTGATAAGATATGTCGTATGCATAAGATAAAGCTGGAGCCTTTTTTCGCAGATTCAAACCCAAAACCAGATAAAAAGCTAACACAAAACTAGAGGCAATGCCAAGTAGTCTTCTTTTGCAATGGAGGAGACACAGAACAAACAAACGCATGCTAATTCAAGAATCCAGCCTTTATTATAACCAAGTTTCTGCTCATTCCATGAAACAATCTATGGAAATGGCTATAGCAAACCGAATCAAAACAAAGCATTGATCTCTGTTTCTAATTTCTAGAGAAAAAAAAAAAAGAAAAGAATCAGTTTTTAAATGGGAAATGAACCTTAGCCTGGAGGAATTCAATCTCTCTGACGAAAAACTCGGTGAGGGAAGAGGAATTTGCAGAATCTAGAGAAGGAGATCCTTCGAACGCAGGGGAATTGAGGGGAAACTGAGCTCTTCCGATCAAGCTGAAGACGATGGTGTCTTCTTGCCTAATCAACGATTCCCTAATCGAGTCAAGACTCAGTACACTGGAACCCACAGTGCCCGAGTCCGATACGTTGACTTTTGCCATGCCGCTTCTGCAAATTGCCAAAATGCCGACGAGATAAAAAAACATCGCCATCATCGATGAGCAAATGTGAATGGAGAAAGAAGTTCACAGGACTTACCTGCGAAAGCGAAGCTTCTTCTTCTTCTTCTTCGGCTTCTTCCTCTTCCTTAGTTTTCTCGGTTTTTGAGTCTCTCGTGCTTTGAACTCTTTGCTTCTCCTCAAGAGAAGTGCAAATATTTTTTATTTATTTTTATCTATGCAAAAATACGCTTACAACAAAACCAGTATATCCAAAATAAAATTCATATTTTACCAAAGTAAAACAAATACATAAAGCTCATAATCAACTTTATGAAACACTTATATAGGTATCCTTCTCAGTTGAAATGTCAAATCCAAACTCCAAACTACAATTTATATACTAACTTTCATCTCAAGAAGAGAGATTACAAACTTTTAAAAATTTCTATGCTCCATAGCCAATTGGAACGAATTGAAAAAATAAGGGCAACTCTATTAAATTATATGTTGCTTCTTTCACAAATTACGTACTCTCTTGTACTTTTTGTAATGAAACCTGGAATAACAAATTCTCACCTAGAGACAGGGTAAGGGTGGGTTCTAGAGCTGGAGTTGATTCTAGAAGAAGGTTCTGGAATACGTTCAGAGACTATGTAAGCGGTGTCTTTCCACCAAGAAGCTTCTGTCTCTTTCAACTGAAGCCTTTGTTTAGCATCTTCCAATGCAATCTCTAGCTCTCTTATTTCCTCTTTTTGTCTTGTCTCCATTAGCTCATGTAGTCTTCTCTCCAGCTCATAAGGACACACTCCTTGCTGTTCCTCCACTAGTCCTGGACACACGTGTCCGGATCTTAGGCCTTCTGAAACTTCACTCTTCTCTGAGACCTCCTGTCAATAAATGATAGTTCCATTAGTATAGAGAGAACAGTCATGTTATAGTCACGTTTTACGGTTCTCTATATTCTGTTGGTCAGATAGTTTTCTGTGATCATCATGATTAATGAATGCAGAGAGAATCAGAATCTTCAATCCTAAATATCATACTGTCTTATTCATGAACTACTTAGACAACTAAAACAAGTACATTACCTTAAGCTTAGAACATTGACCATCATGGTCTTGACCAATCTGAAGAAGCTCAAACTCAGCTTCGAGTTCAGCTTCAAGCTGATCCATTTCACCTCCAACATCTTTCCCTCGGTTAAATACATAATGTGACAAAGACCCTTCACCACGAACACTCAAAGATGTCTCCAGGATCTGTGGAGAGTAATAGTGATCAGTAGAAGACGCAGGACCATCTACAACGTCACTTGTGGTAGAATAAGGAGATGTTTCACTTTGCTCTTGCTTCCCAATGTGAAACTTATCTCGCTGTTTGCGCCTCGATTCATCGTTGTGAAACTCTAGAAACTTGTTAATATTGTTCCGTAACTCGACAAACTCTCGCTGTTTCCGCCTCAGTTCTTCGTTCCGGCATTCCAAAAAATTCTCTAAATCGTTCCGTACCTCAACGATCTTGTGAATCTCTTCTCTACCGGTAGCAATCAGATGTAGGAGATAACAACTCACTCCAATACTAAACAAAAATTCCCTCCTTTGCAATTCTACTACAGACCAAAAGATATGTCAAAAAAAGTTCACAACTGAGAGAAAATTTAAACTAATAAACTGATCTATGGTAATGAAACTCACAGATACATCTAAACAAACAGTTTTTGGTAATAGATTGAATCAGAGATCGTTGAAATCAGTAATCTTGCAAAGTGAAATGAAGAATTTACTAAACTGAACCGATCGATACAAGTTATTCATATGCTAAGGAAGATTTGAGTGAATTCAAAAGAAAACTATTGGTTACCGGAATCGATGGTACGTGGAGTCGAATCTGAAGATTGGCCAACTCCATGAAGAACATGATCCTCCTCAGAGGAGGTTTTGATCCTCGCCTCATCACAGTATGACACGCGTGCTTCGGCCATAGCCATCTTATTACCTTTCACTTTTCTTCCCTGAGGGGAGAACCACCGAGACACGATTCTCCTTGGGGAAGGACATCTCATCCGAATGCATCCTGCTCTCACTCCTCCGCCGTCATCCATCGGAGGGGATACAGAACAGACCTCCGGAATCAATTGTTAAAGAGAAGAAGACAGCGAGAGAGAGAGAGGGATAGTTTTAAAAGAGAAATCAAAATCGGGATTGAAGAGAGAGAGAAAGAGAGAGAGAGGAATGATATTAATGAGAATCACGAGGGGAAGCAGAGTTTTGTGTTCTTTCGACTTCTTCGTTTGGAGGGAAACTTTTGAATTGTTTTTGGTTACTCTTTTTAATGCCAATTTACTAGTAATAAAAATCTACATATAATTGTTGACAAAAAAAAAAAAAATCTACATATAATTATTGGCTTAACTACACAAAAAAAAAAAAAAAAAAAAAAAATCTATGAATAGTTCATTCACTCTGCATTATTTTTCTTTTTCTCCTTTTGACAACTTTGCTTAATATAGTTTAAAGACTTTACAATAGTGATTTTATGGTCAAGACTCCAAGATTACTTCTATGTTTGAATATGATAAAATCAGGTCAAGTGATAACTAATTAGCCATAAATGTTAAACGACTAATGTTGTTGACCAAAAGAAATGGTAATCAAGTAACACAAATTCAGTAAATATTATTGTTGTCACTTTTTTTGTTTTTTTTTTTAACGGCCGGCCAGTGATATTGTCATTATTGAAGAATGACCTTGGAAATAGACCATAATAAATGGTAGCATATGACAAGTTGGTGTTTATATTTTTGTTTTGAATAAGATTTTTTTCAATTTGGATCTGCCTTCTCTGTAGCTAATTCCCGATGAAGCAAGAAGCTGGTCATTTACCTTTTCGTCAGATCAATTTGTAAAATTTCACAAATCTTTTGAGAAGAAAAATGAATTTGATACTATTAGTAACGAAAAGCTTAACCAACATCTAGTATCACAGTTGACTACAATGTTAAATTACAGTTGTTGTTTTTTACAGTACAAAGAAAATATGGAGAATAAAAGGACAAAAAAAAAAGAAGCAAAATCGTTGGTTTTCCAAGTCTCGATGGGTCAAAGCGAAGATGACATTTGGCTTATCACCTCCAATGTGGCTTTCGTCTTCGTTAAATGATCCATCTACGTTTGTTTTAAAACACTCTTTTATTAGTTCATCACCAAATCTTACACTTCAAAATTATACTAAATGTTTTCTCAAGTTTGGTTTCCATGGCTTACCAATTCCTTTTCTCGGTTGTCCTGCGTGTATAAAATATAAGACAAAACTAACTGGTCAGTCTTTTACATGAGATTACCTTCTTGTGCAGAAACTAAAAAAGGGGGTTTATATGTTTATACCCTGGTTTGAACCTCCTGTTTGAGAGCGCTTATCAGTCTAAACAAGTAGTCGTAGTTGGATTTGTGAGGCTCCTGCATTCATCACAACCATACAATTATCAACATCTTCATCATGAACCATCACAATAAAAACACACACAAATAATCAAATACAATATTCAATAATGTTATTACCTCAATGGTATCGGGAAGAGGAAGACCTTCAAATACTTGAGGAGGCTCTCGAAGCTGAAGGAACTGACTCGGGTCATTTGGTAAAGGAACGGTCCAAGAAGGCGGATTAGCAATCCCCATTGATGCAAATCCGTGTCCTGTTCTATTCTCCCACATCTGTTGTTGCTGAGTTGAAGGTCCATCATTTATGATCTGTTGTTGTAACTATGAAAGAAAAATTCAAAAGAATAAGCCTAAGACAACAGCACAAAATCTTAGAACTTTCCAGCGTTGTTAGCTTTTTACCCTTGGAACATTTTCAACTGTGTAAGAAACAAATCTGGGTTCTGTGAAGCTGGGAGGCTCAAGAACTACATATGCTCCTTCGTTTTCATAGCTTCTTGAACCCTGAAAGCAAAAAATTCACAAAAGAACCAGTTTTAAAATCAACAGAACAGTTAGCAGTTGGACTCTGATTGTGTAAGAGGCTAAGGGAATTGACCTGTGAGAACATTGAAGCACTGAACACTGTGCAAAGCTTTCCAGCTTCTACTTCATGATCTATCGAGTAACCGCTTAGCATGTTTCCCATGTCTTCTCGATCTGCTCGTGCATCAGGGCCTTCATGTGATCTTATAATCATCTAAGATGGAAAACAAACATATACAATCTATATAAATAACAAATTGGAATATCACAAGGCCAAGGTATTTATCCAAAGTTTTACACTAACCTTTAAGTTTGACTCTTTTAGAAAAGTCTCGGTGCAATCAGCTCCCCAAAGAAGACCCTTGTAATTGCTTTCGCTTAGACCATCAGCCATCCACGGACATGACCATAAAACATGGTTCAGAGTTATATTCTCGTCATCGTTCTCACCAGTTTGTCTCCTCTCAATCTTGTCAAGTTCCTCTAAAGAACCCAACAACATAGACGGATTCACGGTGTCTTTTTGGACCCGAGGATTTTGAAAGAGACCTCCATGAGTTGTGTAGACGCTATTTGAGATGACCGATGCTAAAGGTAGCATTTTAAAACAATCGATACACTTGGAGTATAACATTGGACCGTGCTCACCGTATCTGTCACATATATCTTTCAAGAAATCAAGCTCTTCAGCAGAAACTCTTGTTTCAGAGCTTCCTCGAAGTAAAAATACATTCTCAGGCATCAGAATCTGTAGTTAGAAACAACGAGTATCGATCAGATGGGAACAATGTGTAATTTAAGATTGTAAAACAGAGTAAATAAAAGAAAACATATCCAGGGCCTAAAATATAATGCTCTCATGTTATAATATTAAGCAAACTCATGTTGAATGTTCTATTTGTGATTTACTGAAAATTAATTTAATGCCTTCAACATTAACAATCCAGAGTAATTCTTAAGACCAATGCTTAAGCGATAGAATAGTGTCTTTATAATTTAAAAGACAAACAGGGGAGAGGCCTAACACTTCAACTAATGTTCCATCACAATCTAATAAAAAAAGGGAAACAAGTAATGAAACTATATATGTACCTTCCAAGCTAAGAGAACCAAGAACACTTCCAGGCTCCAAGAACCTCGACCAATGTAGTTACCATTGAACACAAAACATTGGTTCTGTGAAGGCCTTCCTGATTGGTCAAAGATTTTGAGGAGATCGTGCAACTGACCGTGGAGATCCCCAACCACAATCACTCTAGAATTCTCACTACAACAATTGATTTTAACGCAATTGGCTTCTTTGTTTAGAATCTGTGAAGCACAATCCACCAAAGAGACAGCCACGGAATGTGGTAAAACCAAAGGAAACTCAGATACCGAGTTCTTCCATGTGAACTGGCTTAATAAACCCATCAACGTCTCGACCCATCCAAGAGTTAGTAGTGACTCCAAAGGCCATGAGATTGGCTCCAAAACGATGTCACCAAAATCCCCACCCACAGAATCATCTCCGTTCCCCAAATAAATCTCCATTTCCATTGGCTCAGTCATGTCATCCACATGATCAACAGTTTCTGGTTCGTATTTTCTACTACCCATTCCTTGTAAACTTGCCATCATCCTAGTCACCTGTTGCTTCTCTTGATCATCCAATGTCTCATAGTGAAACCCACGAAGAGACTTTAAAGAACGGTCTGCGTTACTCACCTGCACAAAAAATTTCAAAAAAAAATATTAGCGGATTATCACATTTACTGCTCCAACACCATTAACTCTAACAGCTTAGAGAAGTACACTTACCACTTGCTTTAAAACCGAACACAGAATTCGAGTTACACTATTCTCCGGATCCTGAACCAAAGAACATTACTTTGACGTTCAGGGTGAAAAGCAAATAAAGATAAAAAGCGTACTAATAATCTCAGACTAACATGGAGGCAGAACCGTTACTTTAAGAAAGTCTCGATCAGCACCACGTCGAGATATTTCTTTCAACATAAGCAGAGTACGCAGTTGCTTATAATTCTTCATTCTCGTTGTTTTAACCGCACTTAGCTTCGAGAATGCGAATTTGCAAGCTTCCAGCTTAGCATCTAAAACTCTTTTCGATATTTCTACAGAAGAAAAACATCATATGTTATTACATTACTGGTTTTTGATCGGACACATAGAAAATTTTCACGGGGATGGATCAAATCAAATTGACTGAAAAAACAAAATCTCCAAACGAAGAAACAATTTACCTGGAGGCGGCATATCGAAAACTTTAAAAAAATTTCCCGGTGAGAGTGATTGAGAACGGGAATGAGAACCACGGTTCGGTGAGATCGTCGGCAAGGTTCCGGCGTCGATGTCGATTACAACCGCCGCTGTATCACCGAGGAACGAGCGTTTTCGTGTTAACTTCTTGCCGGTTCTAGGGTAAAGAAACCACGCGCATTTCGCTGCCTAGAAAGCGAAAAGGATGTTGTTTTTCATTACTAATGGGCTGGCCCATATTCTAAAAGGCCCAATATTAGAAACAAACACAGTAGTCTTTCTCTCTGGAGTGAGAGATATGATTTGACCAAACCAGTCAGTCTAATTCGTTCTTCTGATAATATAAACCTCAACAATGGCGAAAGAGAAGGCATGAAAAGAAGATACGGAAATGGCGGGAGTGATTAGGGCGAAGCAGCTGTTTATATGCTCGTCGATTCTTGCGAGTAGTAATAAAAAGGTTCTATTACATGTTCCTCGGCGTAGTATCAATGTAATTGCGGGGAATCTCAATTCGAGCGAGACGAAGAAGAAGGAGAAGGAGAAGAGGAAGAGGAGGAAAGAGATTGAGGTAGCAAAAGTGACGGCGGAAGCAGTGGTGAATAAGGAAAAGAGGAGGACAAGGTCGAGCAGAGAGTATGAGCTCGCCGAGGATGGTGAACTACCCTCTTCACATGTGCCTGTCATGCTCGGCGAAGTTATCGACGTTTTCTCTTCGGTTCGGTTACGAAGTTTCGTTGATTGTACTCTTGGCGCAGCTGGTCATTCTTCTTCTGTAAGTTCCTTCTTCAAAATTTGAGTAGATTGTTGATTAGTTAGCTCAAATCGAACCAAGCTGTTGCATAGGATCATGAGGAATTAGATTACTAAGTATGAAGAAGAAATCCTTATGCTTTAGATGTTCATTTGCTAGTGTTTGGATTATGTAAA